AACGACGACGACGACGACGACTTAAGTAACGTTGGTTTCATGCTCAAGCACAAATATCCAAAATAGAGGAGTTCGAAAATGGAAAGTTTAATAAAAAGCAATGCAATCTGAGGAAATAATACGGCACCATGGGCCGTGGATAAGGCACTGCGAAGAAATACGTTTTTCCATCAACTGTTCGGTGGCTCGTTCTCTCATCGTTGCAGCGCTGGCGACTTCGATAGAACGAACCACGTTTACTCAAATGGCACGACGTACTGCCAAGTCCATCCATTCTCTCCAGCGCAATCTTCATTCGATAGCATAGAAAAATGAGAGGTCTGAACATGCTTCATGAATCCACGGACGCTGCTGATGTCTTTGCGTGCAAGAATAATCATAATCATTATAATTTAAATTGTCAAATGTAAAAATATGGTTTTTATGAGGCATTCATTTCGTTGAGTTAACAGTAGTTGGCGTGGCGCTCGAGTAGGAACGGCGCAAGCAATGCAATATGGTGGCTACAATGATCTTTCGCTAACAATTTTCGAAGGATAATTAGATTCCTAAAAATGTGGCCAAGAGTAACATTTGGTTGCATCTTATGAAATGTTTACATACGCGTACCAATCTGTCACATATTGTTCACGCTATGTTTGTCCTAGGCACTCTGCGTGCAAAAATATGTATCTCGTAGAAATAAGCACGTAATGAAAATCATTACTGGCATTGTCCTTAAACGCAATCCTATATGCGGTCGGTAGCAGCAGTAGCTAGGTTGAAGAATGCACGTTTTTTTTTTGCTGCGAAACTACGTATCGTAAATCGACGTTTTCATAGCGAACCATCCCATTTACCAAGATATTGCTGCATCACGCGCTTTATTAGGGCACAAGGAGCCTTAGATGGAAACAATGCAGCGAATCGTTGTCAGGCTTTCAGGACGTACAGCGAGCAAATCCTATAAAATCCAAACCAAATCGGCACTTTCGTGGCATATCTATTGGTGCTTATTTAAACAATTATTGATGCATCTATCTCCGTACAGTCGTTTGATATCTTCACGGTTGTCGGTGTTTCGTTGTGTGTAGCATATATTCGTGTGACCGCACTGTTGTTATGTTCAGCACACAAGCACCACAGAAGCGCAATGTCAGCACATCGATTGACGGAAAAAAAGTGAAGGACCACACATCGCTTGCCATTTTAGGCACAGCACGAAGATCCTCTTCTATTGAGTGTTACGGCCACGTGCTTATTGACAAGTGTTAGCTCTTAACGTTTCGAATGACAACCTCGAGTGATCAATGTAACGCTGTCGTGTGGAAGCGCCTATGAAATAGCTCGACTAAGGCTTCCTACGTAGTTTCTTGCCGCGAACTACGCAACCATCGTCTAACATACAACAGAATATTGGTAATAGTAGGTAGTAAACACGCGTACACATGTCAAATCAGAGAGGATGGGTCTTTCCTGGACGTTAAAAGCAGAAACATGTTACACACGAATACCTTGCATTACCAATCGGTATAGCAACACAAGTGCATAACAAACGAATCGGATTAGACGAAACCTACATACGTGCATGTAGCGTGTAACGTCTATTCCGTAAATGACTGCGTTTTTCAATGTCGAAAAATTCTAGCACTCAGAATAAATTCGAGCACGGTTTTGTCGTGTATGGCGCTGCAGTACAGCGGGCAGGACTGTGAAGTCTGGATTATGAGAATCTCTTTAACTTGATTTAAACATCTGCAATCGTGTCAAAAGCGTGTTTAAATGTAGGTTCTACATAAACAAAATATCTTATATACAAACACCAATATTGATCTGTCCTACATAATCATGTTTCTCAAAGTTCGGATTTGGAGCTATAACGGGACGTAAGTGCGAGCTTACAAGAGCTGTGGCAAATTCTATCTTGTCAGACGTCGTAGAGCTTGGATAGCTCTGAACAGTGCTGAAGAACATGCCCCTGGATCTAAAAGTGCTAGCCATTTTTAGCACGCACCTGAAATTACTGGTGGCAGCCTACCTTTCTTTAAACGATTTACGAGGAAGCACATTATCACACACGTCAAAATTATCGGCATATTCGAATTACATGACTTGGTCTAGTTAAGTACCTGTTAATATCAAAAATAATGACGGCATACGCTCCTGAGGATGTACATCCTGTTTAGGTATCGCAGAGTGACGAAAAAACGACGAAACGTACGAGCACAGTACAATCACTCAGATAAATTTTATTTAATGTTTTTTTTTTAATTTATGCAATCATTGGGCCTATGGATAGGTGGCTTTGACGCTAATTATTGGTTCAAAATCGGGTAATTACTAACAGGCTTAAATCAACAAAGGTCTTTTAATTTTAAAGTACAATGCGAGTCTGAAATCGTTGTGCTTTTGACAGTTAACTTGATTGGAAGTTGGTGCCTACTCTATAGTAATCTTATGATTGTGCTTAATACTCTCGTATGACTCTGGTCATATAAACTATATCTCCAATAAGTTTGAGTATAGACAGCAGAAAAAGCGTCTAAGTTGTACTAACCGGGAAAAAAAACACGTCGAAGGCTATTTATAGTATGTGTCTTGTTACGCATCCGTTCGTCGTTTTTAGCCTCGCACCGATTTTTTTTCCACTATTGCACTATCGTGCGCACTGCACCCAAAAAGACCCACGTCCCGCAACCATCGCTGATAACTGTCACCTGGTTTCTATTCGCTTTTCAAATCCAAAGAATACTATACACTTTCTTTGTTGTCGTGATGCCTCTAGGCTTGTATTTGCGAATGTAGATTCTATGTTCTCACAGACAGTCTCACCATGCCCTGTATCCTCGATAGGCACTGTAATTTGGCTCACTCAGATGACAGCTTGTAATTTCACGAAGACCTGCAGCAAATCGCCTTCCCTGGACGAGTGCATCTTCGCCGCCATACCATCAGTCTTCCACTCGACGAACCGAAAAATTAATATTGGACACATGTTAATTCCGCACAGCCAGTTAACGATGATCAGTCGTTTTTGCCGCGTCGTACAGTGATGTGTTGCCATTCAGAAGATCATTGCTACCGGGCAGACTATTGCTAGAGTTCAATCATTGCAATTATCCATCAGTTCCCGACGTCGGTGTATAGTGATGCCAGTCTGGAAATCGGCTTGAACGTCGAAAGGCGAGTCTACAGGCTTTTTTTGCCCCTTACCCCCCTCCCCCTCCCCCCAATTCATTTTTGCTTTACCATCTAAAACAACAATGTGGTCCAACGGTTTCCGACCTCGAGACCTCACACTCTCACGTATCACATGTCACGTTCGTGCGCACTCGAAACCGAAGCTGTCGACAGCCGTCCCGTTCGGTTCCAATTATCGCATACATTTACGTGGTATCTTCATGCCATTGGCTTTTCGTTTTCCATTTACCATCCATCCATTTGGTCAATCGTTCTGCGGCTTTCTGACTAGTCGATGCTTTTGCTGTTCCGAAATTCCTGCGTCGGCCGCCGACTGGCGCCACGGTCGTGCGCGCGAGCCAGCGACCCGCTATTTCTGCCGCTGATCATTACTACCAATGAATCGCGCTGCTACTGCTGGTGCCGCCGGCACTAGTAACTGCACCACGATGGCTACGAAGTTGATCTTCCGACAGTACAAGCACTGTGGCCGTCTCCTACTAATGCTATGATCATTTCCACTAGGTTTTGCATGATTGCGAATCGTTGGGTTTGCTGAGGTATCCGTGCATCCAGTGGCACCACATCCTCACCATCAAAATCCTTTTCTTCGTCTTCATTGTCGTGCTGATTGACTAGCTGGCATAATCGGAATCGGTGGTAACGATGGTGGTCCACCGATTTTCCCCCTGTCGCCGGAGTCCAACGCAAAAGATGGTGTCAGCCGCCTTGAATTTCGCTTGCTGCGACTGCTATTACATTTAAATATAGACGTATCGTTTCTATTGTTTCCGCTCTTGTCGTCGGGGATGCGGCGGTGTCGAGACTTGAACGGCATCGGTGCCATCAACTCATCAAATGACCCTTTTGGATGAGTTGGCCGGTGCTTGGCGCCTAATTGCGTTTATTATTGGGAGAGATGGTGGGATTGAAATGGATTTTCGAAATTTGCGGAAAGATAAACTGCAATACGCCACCGCTTCACCGTCGCAGCGGGGGACGCGCTGTCCGCCACAATATAAAAAAAACAACCCAAGAGGCTTCAAGACCGTGAAGCTGCACGTATGTAAGAAGTTCATTCAAGCCAGAAAATTGCGGCTGAAGTATAACAGCGGAACAATAGCGGGTATATAATGATAAGACAGATGATGGCTAATGGAGACGCTTGTGGAAAGAACCGGCTAAACCGTGAAGCAGAGGTGGGGGAGGAGGAGGGCGAAAAGAGGTAAATAAAAACCAGACTTTTCGTTTTTACTTGTGCTATTGTATTTGTGTGTGTGTGTGTGTTTGTTTTTTCGATCATATTAAAATATATTATACCGTATTAATGTCGTTATTTGTTTGTGTTGATAGGATATCGAAAACAAGGTAGAAACCAATAAACGATACCGACAGGAATGTTAAGCACCGGTGATGGCATTTGAGTAAAACGCCAAATCGCAGACACTAGATGAACGATTCGTCTTTCACTAAATAGTTGAGCGAAGTTAAGTACGTGGAGTCGCTATTAGTAGATACTTTTTTTTTGACGTGTCTCTATTTTATGATGTGGTGTGCTCCTATGGCATAAGATAGGCGTTTACCCTAGTTATGGGAACTTTATTAATTTATGAACTGAAATCGTGGTCTATGTACTAGTGTATGATATGTAATTGATACAGCCATGTAATTTTGTCGTTTGCAATCAATCAAAACTTTCGATCACTAAATAAACATCACTTACTTTTTGCAGGAAGTCCAGTTCCAGTTTTTATGAGTTACACACGGGGTGTAATAGACCGAAAACGTACCGTATTCCGTACAAATAAGGTTTATTAAGGGAAAAGGTAAAGCTGAGGCTGAGACGTGAAATGCTTACGGCTCTTGAGTCAAAGATGTACTTCACTTACAAAAGCATTCTTTGATTTGTTTGACTATAACTGCTTACACAAAATCGAAAGTAAGATACGAGAAAAGCTGAAATCGAGGCTGATAAATTGTTTATATTATTCTCTTATATCGATTTGCCTTTTATGCTTACGTAAATGTGTCGAGAAAAGTTTCGAAGAAAAGGACGCATCTTCTGAAAGATACTATAAATAACAAATCTTGATTAATTCAACACGATTCGTGCGCCGCGGGGCAGACAGAACAAGGTGATCATAATTTCAACGAGACAATCATGTTTTTCAATCATATCAGCCAATAACAGGACAAACTACTACCGTAATGTCTATCCGTTTTCTAGTGAGACCGGTATCAATTCAGTCCTATTAGTTGATGTGGTACCATCAGTTAGGCGCTCGGCACCGAGCGACCCAATCACCTTTCGGAGCTGTTTGAATAGAAAGATTAAAATCGGATGCCGTGTTCTACGGATGTGAAGCTTATCAATACGACCTTTCCACTGGGATAATTACTGGTGGGCGACTAGAAAACATCAAGTTTCTGCGATGAACAAGACAATGTTTAGAAGTGCTTGTAACACTCGTTGAACTCGATGACACTACTGGTGAGAGATCGACCGATTGGGTCAAAACCCAATACGGTCTTGTTTTGAACGAGGAGCCGGAGTTTTCTAGTCTTTGTTTTGGATAAAGTAGCTATTGAGAGCTATGTGCTTCGCGAATATCTAGAACTAAACCTTAGCTGGCCACGTAGTTTAAAGATGGCATTTTCTTGTCAACAATGGCGATATTTTTACAAAAGAGAGAAAAGCTCATTTTCGAGGCAAAATGTTTGCCAGCGACGTCTGTTGCGGTCCAAGCCAAATCAAATACAAGTATATGTTTTCTATATATTTTTTAATGATTTTGTAGAATCCACAATATCTATTGATGTGTGTTAGTCGATGTGGTTTCTTTTCAGAGTAACTTCGCTATGGGCATCGGCAGTGGAAGCACCGTTGTCTACGCTGTGGAAAGGCTCGGTATAGCGTTCGCTACCAACTACCATTGAGAACTATCAATAACAAACAAGATAATTTCTACTATCGTGGCATCATTTAGGAAACTGCAATTGATGCTACGATAGTAAAACACGAAGCAAATAATTACACTTCTTACAAGGGCATCTATCTTTGCATGCATTGGGTTGAATTCTGGGTTGACAATGAGAAAAGTATAGTACAGAGCCAGCACATTTCTGATTCCTCCACCTGTTATTGTGAACTTTAAGTGAAATCCACGTGGCATCTAAAAAAAGCGACGGGTTAAAAACAATATGACGAATTTTTAATCAACAAACCGTTTATAAGCGCCGTGTAGTGCTTCTGCCTTTCCTTTCGACCTTTTTTTCTCTGATTTTCGTATGGTTCACTCTACCTGACTAAGAATCAAGCACTTGCTTCTGTACCTCACGAGTGCAGCGGAACGCATTAAGGGTGGTGAGCTTTCGAACATCGTCTGCGTACCTACATCGTTCCAGGCGCAGCAATTGATTCGTGCGCATAAGCTGACGCTCACTGATCTAGAGGAGACGCCTGAACTCGACATTACCATCGATGGCACGGATGAAGCTGATGCTCACCTCACATGTATTAAGGGTAGCTATTAACTACTTCGAAACTAAGCGTAGGTTCTGGGCACAAATGGATACTCGCGTAGCTTAGACTGAGCATCGTTAGGCCGACTAGCATAGACCGATGTGATAAGTTAGTCCTACGTTATCAGAGCGGTAGCGATGATATATTAGAAAAAGAAAGATCGATAGCTGGGAACTAACAAGACTCTATTACATTTTGCAATCACCGCTTCTTTGACATTTATGGTACCCATTTGTTTTTTGAGAAGTTAGTCAGGAATATATAATGATGGCTTTCTTAAAGACCAAGGCAGATACCAGAGTATTCCATGCAGCCTCTGAATCCTAGGTATGGCATATGTGGAACGAAAGAACCTGGGGTGTTGACTACGTTTATCTTAACTAGATGAATAAGTTAACGTTGCATCGCTTACGCTGGCTGTCTTGCTCACAGGCTTACAAATACAGTAAATTACAAATCGGTGCGTCGAAAAAACCTACGATGTCCCCATGTTCAATTGGCAAGGTACTTAAGCATTTTAGTATCTATCAAGGCGCTAAACTTTGCGCCACGTTTCGGTTTAGTGGCTTATACCGTTTAATTTCTAATAAGATTTCCTGTATTTGCAATTGACTAAAAAGTCTGATCAATTCAGGGTCTGGCACTTTGAAAACCAGACAACTTACTATATCTCGAATTGATTATTACGCTTAAAGGATGGGGAAAAGCATTTTAAAATAGCGTAACAATATCCTTGGAACTTCAAGGGATATTGCGCAACGTTCAGGGTGCCTGTTTCTGACGAATGATTTCACTAATCCAAGAACTGCTCCAGTAACGACTAAGCGAAATATACGTGTTGGAAGTAATTTTCACTACTATCTATGTCGGCATCTTATAGTAATAAATTTGAAGTTAATAGTCCATTGTCAGTATTTTATAAGGACCCTGCATAATATTATACTCACGGTGTCAGAACTATCGCTTCCGTGGCTTTTTAAGTCGCGCGAGTTTTTGAAGCTCATTCGATGCGTTTGATTGACGACGTGCTTCGGTCAAGAAAATGAAAAAAAACTAAACTCAGCTTAATAATGTACTTCTCAGAAATTTCAACAACCTTGACAATCCGTCTAAAAATATACATTCTCAAAAAGTAAAGTTGTATAATTGCGGGGATTACATACCCAAGCGTCTATACTAGTGCACGTGTTTTCGTTACATGGATCCGCTGGCGTCTTCCTTATTAGGGATCTTTTTCAGCAAAGGCAACCTTACGCTTCCATTAAGTTCTTTTGGCCGACTAATTCGAATATTCGTACACGATCTCTTGTATACTTTTTGCAGATGTTGTTTTTGGTGGTATTTTTAAACAGCGCAGTGCAGAAAAATAAATTTCTAAGTAGAAACGCAATATTTCCGAGAAATCGGTACAAGCAGATGTTTAGAAGCTAGACAGAAGTTCATAACATCCGGCCTTTAATTTACTAAGGGGCCAAAAGTCTTTTTAGCTAGTTCATAGTTGTCAAATTTCGCCGCCTATTTTTTTAGTAAAATACTTTGATTATTGTTATGTTGGTAATTCATGCATGTGATCTCTGTTTGATTACTACTTTTATTTTCTTTTATTACGGCGGCATTCTCGGTTTATAAAGCCTGAAGCAAAAGGCACAAAACTATGCGCCTCTACGGCATTATATTTGTATTGATTCATCTGTTATTTCTTTTGGGCAGTAAAAGATTTAACAATATATCACTAAATTGGTTTATTTACATAAATTCCGGAAAACGACACACACTACTGGCTTTCCAGACCCGCACTCATCTCACTAATTTTCAAAGTAATGACTCTTATAAAAGAGACTTTTAAATAAGATTGAATTATTTAAAATACATATTTCCTTATGTATCCCATAATACTGCTAAGTATCGTATTGGCCAATTTTCTATTATTATTCAAAACATATTCTCTATTTACAAAGTTTACTGGGCTTACTAGTTCGTTCCATTTTGAACGCATCGATGAACGTTGTGCCAGTCGATATTTCCCATTGGTTTTAGGCGGCGGCGGATGTCTAACACAAGAGAAGATCGTCGCAGCGGCTTCAAGCAAATTCGTTATAGTGGCGGATTATCGCAAGGACTCGACCCATTTAGGTGAACATTGGAAGAAAGGAATACCTGTTGAGGTGTTGCCAATGGCGTACGTGCCCTCAATGAACAAAATCAACAAGATCCTCGCTTGCAGGCCTGTTCTTCGATACGCCGTCAATAAAATGGTTCGTGTTAGCATGTCATAGGACAGAAGCTGTGGTCGCTTCTTTGCAGTGCTAACATAACGTTAAGCTGTGTCTGAGACATGGGCGTTCGTGCTTGTTTTACCGTTTGTAAATGCTAATCGTTTAGTTAATGCAGTGGAAAGGGTCAAGAAAAGGTAACAAACATTTTGTCCTTTAACCTGTCTTTGTTTGCCTGGCGCGAGATTGAAGTTCAGCTCATGAAGGTATGAAGAATACTTTTTCACGCATACTATTTATTCGAAGGACTCGTTTTGTAGCAGTTGTACAGATGTCGAACTCCTAAAGAACCTTGATATCAAAACACTAAAGAAATATGTAACTTTTCCCGAAGAGGGACCCTAGCCTAATGATATTGATATCCTAGCACTTTGCATATTTTTACGAGGTAGGCCTCAAGTAAAAAGATATAGACTATAGTAAATAAAAGAAGAAGAGCGTGTCTAAAACAGAGCACCCGCTCAGATAATGGTGACATCTTAAAGGAAACGATATTGAAACTTCGTTTGCGGTGGTGAAAATAGAAGCAAACAGTAAGCACTATAAAGCGAAGTCAACGGGAATTCGCTTTGTGTCTAGCCCTTTTCCCCTACATCTGTCTTACTATTTCAACAAGTGTTCAAGTTTTCTAAATTCATGTAATCTTATATAGGTTTAAGCTAACTATTTCATAGCCAGGGGATTTGGCGTATGCCTAGTTGGAAACACAGGGACAATCTTTCTATGTGCACATCATAGAAAAATTGAAGTGCGCGTTAGTAGTCAGGTACACAAGCATTTTTTTAACGACTTTTTGTTTTGCACGGCGTTTAGATTGGCTTCTTTTGTGGTAAATTTATAATGTTTCAAATGTCGAGTTGCAGCCCACTTTGAAGGTTAATCAAGCTCTATTCCATCGCGCCCGCTTTACTCTGTGGCATATATTAACCTGTTTGTGTGAATTTTTGTTTCTTTCCTTAAAACAAGGGCCCCGTGATTACAGACAATGGAAACTTTATTCTGGATTGCCCGTTTCCCTCCGATAAGAAGATCGACTGGGAGGAAACTTCGGTGAAAATGAAAATGATTCCTGGGGTTGTCGAGACTGGCCTCTTTTTTGGAATGGCTGAAATTGCATATTATGGCCAGCAAGACGGATCAGTGAAAATCGTTAGGACGGCAGGGAAATATTCTTAGTTGAGTACGATTGGCATCCTATTATATGTTCTCTATGCATACTGTCTTTGACTAGGTGACCTCTATCGATGAAGTCCTGCGTTCGAAAATTTGTTAATGAACTATGCTGTTGCATGATATCATTGTAATGACATCTTCCCCTTCCACGATTGCTTTGCCCCTATGGGTGTGGCAAACTGATCAGTTTTTAGCATGAGTGTCCCTTGTGTGTAAAATTTGCGCACGTGTGTTACAAAGTAGTATCTTTTATGCGATTACATCTGCCTTAGCCTAGTTTTGTGTTCATTTAGCAAATGACATAATAATAACAGTTATTTTTTTATAAATCCAATATTAATTAACCTTATATGATTGTTGTTATCGCTCAAAAGAGCTCTGCAGAGCTTATTTTTTGCAGATAGTGTAATATAGGGTCCCTTCGCAACAGAGGACAAATACTAACCAACTCATTGCGCAAAACGGACAAGTGAGGAACTTAGAACACAATAAAGGTCAACAGGGATTCTCAAAACAGATTTTTTTAGCTCGACGTATGCATGGAAACGCACCCCTTGTGTCAATAAAGAGAGACGTTTCAGTATTCACAAAAAGCTTGAAATATTCATTGATTTTTTAAATCAAAAAGTTGCGAAAATCGTTCGAACGGGACACCATCAGTAATTTACTTTTATGATTGTGAGAACTGTGATTGTGGTAGAAAAGGTCAAGGTGAGAGAAAAAAACAGGTTTACAGAGTCTGTCCTTTAATGTTCACGCTTTTTATCACCGGCTTCTGTTTAACAATACTGTCAGATAATCCCGAGCGCGGACGATTTCGTCATGCGCAATGCACGCATATTTGATCTGCAATGCGCGCTAATAACCGTGAATAATCAGTGCTACTGAACAAAACCAAGGCCATGAAGTTCAGAAAAGAGGGAAGACCTACTAACAATGATCAGTTTGGTCTGAACCTAACGATCCTGAAAATTGTCAATTCGTTTACATATCTTGGCTTAGCGTAATGACAGCTATAAGATCTTCGTTTGATCGCATAGAGGAGATGGATAGAAAAGCGATGATCGGAGCTGTTGCAATCGACAGTCCGCGAAGAAAAATATTGCACTGACTGATATGTACGGGACGGGCATTCGGGAAAACTAAACGTTCGCGATCCCATGAGTTCCGATGTGGTAAAGCCGGCCTTCTTCAAACTGCTGCTAGGCCTGCAACAACTGGCAGTTACCCACTAGGCTTACTGACCGACCTCCAAACGCGTATTTTTCCTCTGTGAAGAGAAGAGATTTTGTAGTCGTTATGTCGTTGCTTAGGGCTCCTCTCTGCGCACTTCGACACCGCGTGATACCACTTTAGGGTCGTCCCTGTTCGGCTCACAGCTGACGTACAACATGGACACATTGCCACCGTCGTTATACGTGAATATAAACCGAATTTTAATAGTCACGGTATGACTATACCACAGCTTAATATGATACTTTATGTACAAACTATAGACTATCCAAAGCGCAGCAGTAGCTTAAATCTCTTTATGGATGATCAACAGAGAGGTCACAGCGGACGGATACCAGTTGAAAGGATCAAAAAAAAAAACATATGCATATAGTTTACATGATTTATAGCTTAAACTAACCTGTTTTTGTAAAAACGCTGTTAAAAAAAAGTCAATTGTAATGATAGAATAGATGGTGTTGGCAGTCAGAGAAGCATCGCCAAAGATTACGGTAACTGGTCTCGTTAAAAACAAATCGCAAAAGATCGATTATAGGTACATTTTGTCAACATGTATTATTTTCATCGATAATCTTTCAATCGCATATTAAACCCAAGGAAAATTGAAGTTTACAGTCTTATGTATAAACTCAGTCTGATGCAATGCTCAGCTGCAGGTACCGCTGTAAAAGTGGACACGCTTAGTTAAAATTTAGTATGAAATCATAATAGTAATTTGAAATTAGCACACTATTTCATATTTTTTTGATACGCCTTAATATCTGCTTCAGTACCATACTTCCGCCATAAGCTACCTGCATACAGTTACTGCAAAACCGGATCATTAGTTCAAGTCTATAAATAATGTACCATTGTATAGTAGAATAGCGCGATTAGAGCATACTTCGTAAGATTGTCGAGATGATTTGTCACCGATTTTGCCAGATCTTATTACTACGCCCCAACCTCTTTTCTGGATTGAACAAAAGAGTACCGAACTTTAGCCTCGATACTTACCTTTCTGATCCAAGTCCGTGCGAGCACAGTATGGACACCAGTGGATGAGCATATTTTACTGTGGATTTACTTCGAGAAACGATAGATAGGAAAAGTACACATGGGAACGCCAATGGTAGATATGTGCCAATACAAGGACTGCCAGAGCGGCACAAGAAGTGTGCAAAAAATAGGGTAGTAAAAGACTGTCACTCTGGCTCAACTAGTGTAAAAATCACTTGATTTCAAACTCCGCCGAATTCACTTGTAACAGCAAAATATCCTAAGAAGTTTTCTATTGGCTTTTTCTAAATTTCGGATGTGTTGTTTTTTCCCACAAATAAACGCAATAGTAGTTATTATCATCACAATGTGCTCTACGAACGAACAACATAAACCTAAATCATGCATCTTATCAATTTGATATAGAAAACTGGAACCTTGATGCAAGTCTGCGGAGACATGGATGGGTCAGACATTACGTTCGTTTTGCTCCTAGCTCAAGTGTCTACTAAAAGACTCCTTATGAAAACACTCAGTATAGCTATAACCCCCGTTTATACGTCCGTCAACATAGATATCTCATGATCTATTTAAACACAATTTCCCTATAGAAATGCGAACCCTTCGCACTGTCCCCAGGGGTTAGATTTTCTTTTTCCGTAAAATTAATCGACATACTTGCTGACTAGATGAGTGAACATCGCCCTAGTTAAGCCGGCAGAATGGCCCAGTCCACTAGCTATATCTCGATGAGTAAGTATTTGAGCAATAAATACTTCAATAGGTTTGTTAACACGTCAGTTGCCAAACGCTTACGAAAACGATGGCATTTAGTCCACGGAAATTTTACGACAAAAAATCTAAACAAAAAAAAAATACCGCATCTATACAAAAAGCCCGCACCGACTTGACTGTAGGTACAAGACGCTTCCCAGTTTCAAGCGAGTTCTGTTACATGTCTCGACGCTGCGTTACATCCTCAATATACGCGTATGCATGCGTGAAAGGAAATTTATGAGACGTAACGGCGTAATATCGTGATTGTCCGTTTCCACTTCATGTTCACAAAAACCGTACGAGAATAATGGACCGCGAAAGAGCATGCTTTGGAAGAGTGTTTAGTAAAATAACAGAACCAACTAGAATAATTTTGAAACTTGGCCCAATCAGTCATTACTGCCTAGCAAGAAAAAAAAAACGCGAAAACGGGTTTGACATGCCTAAGAGTGCCATGGCGGAATTACGAATTGTCACCGCTAGTCCATCGGGCGAAAGGAAATAAACAAAAAGAGATATACGTCCCACAAGAATTCACAGTAGGTGGACAGTCGCTTGTGTCGCACAGTGTGACTGTCGCTAGGTGATAGCGATAAGCAGTTCTTCATGCTCCTATGTATCGGCCCTTTGTCGACTGAGTAGATACCGATCATACCCTAGCATGCTCACAAATTTTGTTTTCGCGACCGAAGAGTTAAACAGAAAAAATGTGTAACATTCACCATAGTAATAGTTATTTTTGTTGAAAGGACGACACTATGTTATAGGAGGATAACGAAAAAGGGAAGTAGGGGATATGGGGCTGATTGCAGGAAGTTCCTCTCTATGCGAACTAGTGAATGCAGTTTAATGTGCAGGATGACGAAATTAAGAAAATTAAAGTAGAGAGAGAACTGCAATGACCGACTGTACTAAATACTCTTCTTGAAAGCTCGTCACGAACGATTTATGTTTTAATCTGTGCTAAGTCGAGAACGCCGTCGATTGCATTATTATTCCTACACGAAAACTAAGTCTCGCTAAGATACGATGGTTCATGGTCATTGTAGCTATATTGTAAACTGCTACAGCACTGCGTGAGGCCAGCATCACGGGATAGTGGCTGAAAAATAGTGAGTTTAATATATTTCTCATACTTTACTATTTGGTTATGTCTTTTTTTAAATATATGCGAGTATCTGTTCGTAGTTAATTTCTTGATGATGCGGTCGTGAAATATTTGCCTCTTAGACTTAAACGTATGTGAGGTAGTTCAGGGTAGAATCCGCGCGTGGATATTACTACTGTCGGTAGCAAAAGATCATTATTTAGGTCTTCTCTTCCAACATTTAATAATGCTAAATAAGCATATAATGTTAAAATTACGCGGGGAAATGTTTGTTCCTCAAGGGTAACTCCTTAAGCAACGTCAATCTACGAACAAACAGTATTCGATAAAAGTCGCCCTTGTAGCTGGTCATATCGTGGTTACACGTTGTAGACAGAGGTCCTCTTTTAGGCTTTACAGACCATAACACACACAGTGGGTGGTGACTTCTTGTAAATAGCATTATACCGACTTTTCAGTACTGGATTAATCCCGTTGTTTACTGTGTGGAGCACGTTTTCTTCTAGCCTATCATTTAGTCCAGAAAGATCCATCTACTTCCTTGACTAAGATTGCCATCGTATGAGACTTAGTTCAATCACAGTAATTTCGAAATTATCCCTGTCTCTATGCTTAGAGCGTTATCGATAGTGAGTAGATCCTTGGCAGGCGAAACAATTATCCACCATTTTCATTCAACTAGTGGATAGAAAGAGGGTTACACCTGAAATCTTTTCATGCAGAGACATTCTATCCGAACCTCTTTCGACAAAACGTTTGTGAAACGGCTTCATTCTACGTACGGCTGACTTGAATATGGTTTAAACGTGGTTAGTTTAATTTTACAAAAAAAACACACACACATTAGAGTATTCGGAGAATAGCTGAACTCAGAGATAGAGACGCGGCTGGGAACACTTACGTTTTTGCCAACAACTTTCGAGTTCTTCTAAAAAATGGTTCAGGTGATTCTATTACTATATGTTACCATCGCTAAGCATTGCTATGGACAGCTGGCCTCTCACCACCGAACGATTTGTTTCCAGGTTGCAAATCTAGACTGTTTTAGCCTGCTTACCTACTGGGACACGTGAGGTGGCCTAAGTTCGAAATCAAGGACGGGAACTTTGCCTAGCATTAGAAGACCAACCGTCTGAAACAGTGCTGAACTGTAACACAGGAGATAAGACTCTACAGTATTCATTTATTGAATTCTTGTTTACGTCGCCGAAACCACAAATGATTCACAACTAGACCTATAATTACAAAAGCTTGAGTGAAGGATGGAACAACATAAAAGGTTAGATCGTTAGAAATCTACTCTATATTTTCAATGGACAACATCCGTTCACAGGATTTTTTTCCAATTTGTATATATTTTAGTGCAATACGGTCTCTGTCGTTTCTTCATATGCAGATCAGAATCTACCGGGATGTGAGAGAAATGATGATTAAGGTTTTCTGTTGTCTTTCGGAGTATCCTGGTTTGCGGTGACAGATCCGCCATCGATAAAGGCATATATCCCACTTACCTCGGCCATGAACTCAGTTACTTCAAACTAGAGCGCCATTCGTACGCTTCGCCTGGCATATGTATTTCTATTAAACGTATTTTACTTTATTAAAAGCTAATTGTATTTGTAACGGAAGCAACATCGGATAGCGGTCAGCTAAGGTAAGTAGACTCTAATAACTTGTTTCACAACAAAGTTTGAGCGCGTTTGTTATGTAACGCACGTTGAATGTACAGTTTCAATATTGATCATGCATATGTATGAATGCGTACGATGTTGGTGGAGGTACGGGGTCGTCTTTTTGGAGAAGTTGGCGTCGATTGACGACCAACTAAATTACTATTACGCTCTATAGTAAAAAGCAAACTTGACCCTTAAGGACAAGTGTCTGATCAATCTGCTCGACCATCCGCGTAGACTTTCCCAGGATAAAAATCTGCTGACCCATAAAGCACCCCAACCCAGGCCGACTACTTTAAAAGTCGTTTTATATCCAACAAACACACATGATTTCTAGCATAGACATTAGTATTTGTGGGCATTCCTCTTTTACGAAAACGAAACGTGTCTACAGAATTGTCATTTACTTACTTTTATTGCTATTGGATATATATTTACCTCATTGAACTGACTGGTCCACATAAGGTCTGGTTAATTGCTAAGGTCCCATGGTTTTTAACCTTATCATCGAATTTTGCTTGCGTTTTTTGTTACATATACTCGAGTAAGGATATCTTATGTCTTGTGAAGCTTTACTTTGAACCGAGCAAAGCGAATTGTGCTGTCAGTCCTAGAGCGCCCGCTCTTCGGTATCATTTCTATGAGGCGCAGGGATCCGACCTGCGCTGCTTCCAGCCTGAACTAACTCCTGAACTACGTCTATCATGTGGCGCGTCGTTGGCTGGGCTTGAGCCAGCAACCCCTGGCTTAGCCCTGGCACAACCTTAACTTCCATATTATAACTATTCCATCTCACCATTCGATGTTGAGCGTGTAACCTACGAAAGTTGTCAAGGGTCCGTTTGTGCGGCTCTAATTAACTGCCACAAGACTTCACCTATTTTTTATTTAAATCGTCTGATAAACAACAACGCAAAAACTGCGAATATTCGCATTAAAAAACAGTTCAATAACATAGATTTCTTCATATTATTATTATTGTTATTATTATATGACCTATAATTGGTCAAGTTATTAATATTCATCTTTTTCCAGATGCATCTTCTATACCACATCAGAAAAACAGTGTTAAAAAGCTATGGTCTGAAAAAGCTGTATGGCTCCTTCGGTGCAAAATGTTCTTGTTCTTCAGAACGAGAAAATCAGCTAAGTCGAGCTTTACAAGATGTAAGTGCTTCGTTTTGAACTAATTCACAACGCTTCGTTGCCTTCTTTTACACACTGTTTCAGAGTTGCTTTTACTTCAAAACTGCGACCGCGTACGTTTCGAGCGTACGCCAGGGTGCGAATGCTATCTCGATTTGACCTCGTGTTCTCAAAGACGTATCGGCAACTCTAGGCAATGACCGTGTTGGCTGTGAATAGCCAAATGCTTACACAAATGCATTCGTCAAACGGTCACAATGAGGATATCTGAAATCAAGTTCCTCCATACAGATTTACGTGCGTATCGAGAAGTGTTCAGACAATCATGTGCCAGATAAATACCGTAGTCCGCTAATATAACCTTAAAAGTTCGATTACGTTCGCAGGAAGCCTAATTATAATCAGCACTTGTCGAATGCTTCTGCCCTTAAAGTTGTACGAAGTCAAAACTTCCACGATTCGTTCTTGCGGACGTACGACTCACCTCACGCCTCACAAGTCTTATAGTCTATAAGTTGATAATAATCGCAGGTGCTTCAATTGCTTCTGTTCGAAAGAAAGTGTAACAAACTCAATATTCAGATCGCTACCCCTTTGGAGCTCTTTTAAAGCACGCAATTAGGAACCGTATTATCTAACGAAAACTCGATTTCAGCGTAAGTTAAACAATCGGAAAATGTGTATAGTTCGTAGCACTGAGAGTAATGTCCACGAAAAATTTGCGACTCGTGGGACAATGTGCTAAAACAAAGAAATTTCGGACAAACAAATTTCGTTACGAGAAGTCATTATAAGGATATAGATGAAGGATATAGAAGGATGAGTAGATCCCAGAGACGGCTAAGTGTCGTTACGCACTCAGAAGGATAATTAGCGAGTACGTATCGCGCGCAGAATGAAGTGAAAATTCAATACATCGGGAGAAGTAAATTCAGGAACGTAAAAATAATGCTAAGGAAAGCTAACACTGCAAAAAAAAGTATTGTAAATAAAAACGTTCGTCGGCATTCTATGAAGCCGACTCATAAAGCACATACTCCCGCGTTAAAAACGCGAAGGTCCGCATGGCGAAAGTAGATAATGCGGCATCTGTGTACTTCTACAACCCAAATCTATAAAAGAGTTCGGACTACGAATTGTAAGTTTAGCCTTAATCTCTCTCGGGTTTACACTCTACGAAACAGAGTTTTCTTTTCAAACACGATATATTCGAAAGCGTACATCTTTTCGAAATTATTGGCCAGCCTTTGCAAGTGGAGTGCCAAAATAAGCCCCCTGTCTAAGGCCGCTACAAGTAAAATAGCACTTATGCTCCGACTCGAAACGACGAAAATTCTGTCTCTAGGGAGAGGTGCATTCTATCCGAAAGTGAAAAAAACGTAATCGGTCGTCATTTACGGAGTCGCAACGATTTCGTGCACTGGTTGGTGGAGGTAAGGTGACTGAAACGGTCGACGCCTGTTATATGCCTGAAAGTACCTATAATCCGTAGCCATACGAGGACAGGGAGTCAAATTATTCGGGCGTGAAGGTTTGAATAATACAAATTTTACACGATAAGCTACCTCGATCTTCTCAAAATTTGCTATTAACTAGAGAAAATCGAGTACAAAAAGTTGGTTGCGACAGCTGTGTGTTTAATCTATTCGTTCCAAACTTACCACGTTATCTATACCGTAAAAACATAGCGGCGAAGGCCATAACCATTCGACTAGCGTCATCGACAAATACACCATATTCAGGCTAGGTTTCGACACCTCCAGTAAGCACCTGAATATTAAGGGCGAAAGATAATTCTTGAAACCTTAAGTTTACTTGGAATGATCGTTTTAGACGCAGTTTACGAATTCTATATAATGACCCTTGACACTGGCTGAGGTGGGGCCTAGATCGGCACCGTTCTTAGATGGTAGAAGGCGTCTTTGTCCTTATTCGACCGAAAACGCCATTTTCACGTTTTTCATAACGCTCTAAATCCAGCATTAGAAATTAAGGACCAGTCGCAAATAAAATGTTACGTAAACTGGTTGAATGCGCTCGAGCTTTGCATTGACCTCCTGCGTTGAACTGTGCAAAGTCTCTTGAGTGAAAAGTCTCTCAGAAATGATAGGTTTCTAAAGTCAAGATTAGTTTTTTTTTGCCCGGCGATGGCGGCAACCGCAGAGGTGTAACTGCAAGGGGCAGAGTGGTAATGAAAGACAATGTTCTGGTAGTGACGACGGCAGCGTTTTAAGTCTTAAGTGATGTATCTCCTTTACACATCTGAAAGCGAAAATTTTGGAAGTATCATCTTCATTTTTTGGGAGACTCGACAATGTGCGTACGAATATGTTTGGAAACAATAATTGCTACGAACGCAAATGTTCTTCGAAATTGCGGTACGTAGGTCAACTAAACGCAGAGCGAGTAACTTTAACATACTCATAGAAGTTTCGTTCAAGCAAATCGTGAGCACAGTTTGTATTCTGCTTCTTCTACTTGTAAGGTCCGGAATACTCTCAAAATTTACATCGTCATAAATACAACAAAAAGACTTGAGGAAAAAAAAGGCGCTATGATTCGTAGACGAGGTTGTCTACGGGGCGTGTGTTATCAGTATAGTCGTACCTGAAGAGAATAACTCGATTCGAATCACGATTCAGGACCGGGCAAACGCGTTAAAATTTATTATCATATAGATATACGCAGAGTTTACGTAAAGGCAACGCCGCTGTGAGTGGAGCCCGATCTTCTGGCTAGCTTATCTTGCCTTGAACAAAATCTTGACATAGTTAATTGACGGTAATCAAATAGAGGTTTATTAGACTATAAAGATCGTTACAAAGGCTGATACGTATCATTAGCTTTATGTTAAAGATAAAATTCTATTTTGTTCTCATATAAATTTGTGATTTTAATTGGTCCAGGTCAAATGGTTCGTATCACCATGCAATATAATTAACAGAAAATAAATATTTACCGATATTTTAACCGTAACTTTTACTCATTATATATATATATATATACGTAATGTTATCTTTCAAGACTCATTATTCGATAGTGGGTGTCAAATATTACTTGACCAATGTACTGTAGCCTAGGGGAGAGCGATAACAGAGTTAATTTCAATGCCGTAAAACTTCTAACGAAAGGTTTATTTAAAAGCTTCGTTTCACCGCGATCAGTCCATTGGTCTCGTTGCGGAAACGGATTTAATAACCTACAGGTAGCATTTTTTGGAGTACGTAACATTAGGGAACCGTCTTCGTTCACTACATCCTGCATTGGGCATATGTTATCATCGACGTACATCTTGATATCCCAGGTCCAATTTGAAGACCAGGGTTTCTGCAAAGCAGAAACACGATAACGTAGAGTACGTTTAGTTCAACTGAGTTGCGCATCTGCTTTGGATTAGGGTCACTCAATCGGAGAGTCTTTTCAAGAGAGGGGCTTTTTTTTTTTTAATTTAAGGTCTCACTAACATTAAGTAATGTAAACGAGGGCCGATACTATAATTGACGTGGTAGCGACAACACATTGAATTAGGTCAAAGTTGTTGCGGGATTACTATGCGATGTATAGATACCAATGTGAAAATCAAAGTAGCTTTAAAAACAACTTAAGCTAAAAAAACGAATCTCATCGTGTTCTCTGCTAACGTCCAGTTTCCAACTTATAAGATGTCTAATCCACATATCATGTAAGACCATTTGGACCGTCTAATAGCACAGGATGATTGAAACCCACCCGTTTTCGAGGACACTTCTCTTTCCCTTTAGCAATGGCAAAGTTGGTCGCCTTTTCTAAAGGGTTATCCTGTGTTGTAGATATGTGCATCGACGAACACAAAGGTAAAATGCATTTTAGGCCCTTGGGTATTACGAAGCACGAAGGTTTCGTGCGGTCAGCCTTAACAAATGAACGTTTCTATAAAAGCGACTTACACCAGTCAGTTTGAGACTGCTTTCGCCTACAAATATATAAAGTGATTCGTTACGCGGTGTCTAGCACGGTTCAGATTGCTATCAAAAGATGTTTTACCTTGAACCCAGCAATCTGGATTACGATAACACACCAAAACAACAGTGAAGTCTATTTTTGCGGCAGGTACTTGATATGAACATACTGAGCCCTTAAAGAGGCACGGTATCGTCACGCATCTAATAAATGTAGGTGGAACTACTTCAATCAGTTATAGATTGACTGGCAAACAATCGAATGGCTATGAATGGTGTGTATATTACTTCTCTATATTATAGTGAAATAGTTGCCAATAAAAAAAAAATGATCAATGTCAAACCCATATTATTGACTAAATTATGGTTCATTCAAAGATGATCCCACATTCACACACAAACATTCCATCTAGTATGAGCTCGTGTATATAACTGCGGCACTCAAACATCAGCCAGCTTGTTTTGACTGGTTGCTTAGAATTGCCAGTCGGTGGATATTTGGTCTCCTGAAGATTTCTTGTAAGAGTTTCATCGGTTTTACCCGATGCGGAAACGACAGAATTTGTTTCATAGCGCATATTGACCAGAAACCGCAGAATTTTTTTACTGTGTATATTTAACACTTGTGCCTTTGTCGTAAGGAAACGGTGGTCGTCTGCAGAAAATTTACGCATCATCAAAGTACTCTATGTTGACTTTGAATGAAGGCCTTCCAACGATCTCAGCACGTCTACTGCTGCCACCTTTCAGCTTTCAAACGTCGTGAACGCTGACATACGCGATTCGAAAGTCACCTAGCTAGAACAACGGTCTTTCTCAAGATGCATATATACATACTTTCTTTGTTTACATAGCTTGTGTAGAAAGAGACCAGGAGCTGCTGCTTGCTAGCAGCTCCTGGTCTCTTTGTTCCAGCCAGAGACTTAGCCATCCAAGTCATAGCCTTCACACTCTATTTATATATTTAGTACTGCGTTGGGGATCTATAGTTTTTTGTTTTCAAGCACCTTCAGTTGAAAAGGAAATAGCACAACAAACTAGGAAAAGATGAGGATTTCTGCGACTACTCTGAGGAGGTTTTAACGGAAGTAATTCCAATCACGTTTTTATACCGGGTGTTTTAAAAGCTGCGCAGGCCTGGGGGAGACAAATCGGAATTCGTTCCGTAGCTTCAAATGTAACAGTCGGTGCAGTCTATTTCATTCTTCGCATTGGAAGTAGATATTTGGATTATGACAATTATTCTAGGTAACAGAAAGGAAACAGCGCACATTTTGTCTAGACTTGATTGAAAGGCGTCAAAGTTTCGTAAATATCTTCAGTGATCGATAGGATTCTAGCAGAACTTACACATCTTCTGACGTAGTTTTTTTGCTACCATCAACTTTTAATCACCTCTCACATAACTAGGAACGCTCGGTACGAAGAGTCAGACGGTTAAGTACGCTGTTCCTTTATTTTTAACAAAACCAGCTCGACAATAAAGATGTGGGAAACTAAAAAACGATTGCATACTCGTCGTATAAATAATTACTAACTACTTTGGCAGTTACCGAAAAAATTTATTTCTGCAACATCATGGTTCAACGTTGACCTATTACCTAGCAATATCTAACAGTGTAATTCACCAACGTCCTAGACAGGGTGGGGTACTATTTATGAGCATCCTGCCACGCTTTATTTATGTGTAGTACATATGTGGGTGCACATATTAATTCTATTCAGGGCCTATTTAGATTGCGCCGTTCGAAGACTATCAGCTCCGGTCCACGTATTGTGATCATAATCCTTCGCAGTGCTGTTACCTGCTGACCTTCCCAAACACGGCAATGACTACCAACAAGCAGTTGGTAATGAGCCTTCCAGTTTGTTGTATATAACCCTAAATATCCAAATGAGCTGAAGCCTATCGCAGTACATACATTTTTATCGAACGCGATCCGGGTGCAATCGGGGTTTCGTCCTCGTTTACGGTGCGCAGGGGTCGTCAAAGGCCATCTGTGAATTACATGCAATACTAACAGGTTGATAGATCGAACAATCAATGAATTTCAGTTAGAGTAAATATTTCTTCATACATTTCCAGCGACTGTTGGCCATATACGAATTTGTTATGTATTTCATCAATCAGATATCATCTCTTATTTTGTAATATCATTTAATAACAAATATGTGTGTCGGCACACAAACGAATCAAAAGTGTTCACATATTGTTTGTGCACAGTGTCCCAGTAAATTAGCTGTTCTTGTCTCCTATTGTAATTACATACAGTCACAAATAATTAGTACTCTTTTAGTACGCTTTTAATCAACGACGATTTACCCTGTCCTTAGATTCGTTAATGCAGTAAGGCTTAAGGCCGGTTTTAGTAACGCTGTAGTTCCGGCATAACAATCTACGTATGCTGTAAGCTTGGTAAAGCTCGAAAAGGTCGAGGCGATGCAGAACGGATGTAATACCTTGATGCATCCCTTCAATCGTCAGTTTCCTAAGAGTGAGCTCTTTTTGAAATTTCACTATAGGCTACGCAAGCGGAGTTACATAGAAGATCAAACTAGGAAATTACACCTATTGTTTTCATTAAAGCCTGGTTTTGGTTTCCCGAGTGATCGCACTGCCTCACTGTAATCAACTCTTTCATGTGATTTTTCGGGGTCATTTTAGAAACGTTAAGTGCGTCACCCTCCGGCTACCAGTATGAGACAAGTAAACTGATCAAACCCGCGTCACCCGCAGCCGACCCCAAGGGTCGTGACTGCGCTAACATTATCTAGACATCAACTGGACACCACATTTCAGGCCCCTGAAGAGGTTTTTTACCCTTATGGTCTAAATCCAGGTTCAGCCGATAGATCCACCGAAAAGGGTATAGATTTATTTATTGGTTAATGATTGATTGAAACTCTAGACTCTGCTGCGGTAAACAGAGCTAAGTAACACCAATTACATTATGTTTCAATACATGGTTACTTTTGATCTAAAGGTTCGTCCGATATAAATGAATCAATAATTGCCATTGGTGGTCAAATATTGTTTAGCCAATTTGCATCGTATATCTTTAGAAGTCCGCATGTGCGCTCTAATCTTAAGAGCGCAGCTTTCCATGGTCCTTGTAAAAACTCCTACTCTCTTAGTATCTTACACCAGCTAGCCGTTATAAGTCAGAACTTCTTGGTTCTATCCCCATGACATGAAGAGCTAATACTGGAAAACATTTGTACCTTGATTGACCTTGGCCCTAAAATGCCACGCAGCTTGCGGTTCCGGTGTCTCAGAGGAGTATAAAACATTTCACTTATTAAGGAAGGACGTCTACTTCCCCTTATGTCGGAAACAAACATTTTCTAGTGTATATTTGGCCCACGAACTAATTTGGCTGGTGATCCATGTAAACAACGAACTTATAATTAAGAAGGAAAAACGTTCCGACAAAATATAGCGTGCAAGTTTTCATTTGCCTCCGTCTGTTCTGAATGCTAACAGTGTAAAAAGTTATCGAAAACGATGAATCATCGAATGGGATTACTCGACCCAAATGGTACAGTTTATCTAGTACAGGCGAAAGGTGGTTCAGTAGAGAGCTGGTTAACAAGGGTAAGTTTCTAAGACAATACGTTACTCTAATTTTCGTGAAACCCAATGTAAATACACAGATTTTTACCCTTGGCGGCGAACTAGCAGGCAGACGGTTTCTGGAGTTAGGGCAGACAGAACAGACGTCACCATCTAGTACGTAAGAAGGCCGTCGGATACGGTTGAAAACCTACAGAGTGAATAGCAGAGATTTAGCCACTACTATATTGTAAACCTTTGAGTTTTGGAATCGATTTTATGCTGTTTCGAAGTTATTGTAGCAATTTCTTCTGTGGACCTGTGCCGTCGGTCCAGGCAACTCTTCAACGCGATCTTTGGCCTCTACTCGTACTGTTCAGTATAGTAACTTTAGCTATGGGCTATTGGACTGCGCTCATGTTCGTACGATGGAAAGCCAACCGTATGCCATACACGCATCTAAACACCGAACGTGATGCTTACCCACGGAAGCCTTCACAAGCAACACCGATAGTGAATACTAACCAAGCCGTTCAAGTCGTCAACCCTGGTGAGCTATCGCTGTCGACACTAGCAGAAATATATCGTGCCCATGAGATAGTTTGCTTCTTCTTTGTAGCTGTTGCCTTAAGTAGAAGATGGATTTATGAATTAGCGTTCCTTATCCCACTTTTCGTTGTCATAAGAAACATATTATTACATTGATTATACAGATATGTACTATTAATTGTACGTGAAAGACATAATGCTGCTTGTCAGATAAGAGTTTATATCGAATTGTTACGATATCCACAGATGAAACGCACGCAAGAGCGATGACAAATGAAAAATTTCATAATCATTTTCAGTTGCTGTGTTGGAATCAGTTTTTCTAATAGGCGAGCACTCTTAGTCGGTCTATAGACCGATAATCAGCTCGACGAAACTAGTGAGACTATATGTACGTTATAGGTGGCCCAGACGATCAAGACAACATCGTATTCGAACAGAAATGGCAGTCTGGACCAAAATGCAAGGACGCGTTTCATAAAAGTCTGCCACCGTATGGTGCCGTATTTCACGACAAAAATATGAAGCAGACAATTTTTAGAGAGCGACTGTCAAAGACGCATTCAAACGATGCCGTATACCCTGCAGGAGGACCAGATGTAACACGTGTCATTTCGGAGCGGATTACTGATGGACACGATCCTGCAGTATAAAGAGCCTGTCATTGTTAAACAGTGAAAATACGCCAAATATTATTATTAAAAATTTTTTACGTCAATGGGACGCTCAGCAACTTATGACAACAAATTATTGAGCTCAGCTGAATCTCGCTCACAAGAGGTCGCTCGGAGGAGCTCCATGCAAGTATTTACTGCGACGTGGCAGATTTCGAGCACATCGGCGTAAAACTCGCCGATGTGCCGAAATGTATTGAATGTACATGTACTAGACTGATCGGGTTACTCAGGAGGGCTTAATATGACGGATACTCTCTTCGGCGTTTTTATTGTCTTAACCAAATCTATATTTCCATCCGAGTGAAATCCGTGTGATTTTTGACAATTTAAAGAAAATAAAGTAGCTTTATTTAATTTCTTGCTTTCTTTCATATTTCAAGTTCTTTGGAAAACCTAGTTAGGCCATTGCAATTACAACTGACATGTTCGAAAGGTATTAAAATGACGCCTATGATTTGCAGTATGCATAAACATGCAGCTTTCACAAGTTCGTATCGACTTTGATGTAGCTCAATGGTTTAATATGTAAAAGTGTTAAAGCCACGCAGTTTGCTAGGTCGTCTAAAGTATGGATGTGGATGAGGTCGTTTGGTATTGATTAGCGGAAATTGCTTCGACTATAAAGCACCTAAAGATCTGTGCCATTACGCAAGTTTAGTTAAAAATTTTGTACCACTAAATAATATGGTTTTTACTTAGTTTCTCTCAATAGGCTTACGCAATTAAGGTTTAGTCAACCGATCTGGTACACACTCTACGAACTATATAACGGATACTTTGTTTTAGTAAGTAGTAAGCTGCCGAATGAAATGATGCATTGCGAAACGTAGAATTTTATCTTCGCTCATTAAATCCTGCGTTACTACAATGATTGTCTCCGCGCATGCGCGTAATTTCGTGTTGAAATTTACGCTAATGAGACCAACTGTACATGCGTCTATTCGGCAGGAACCTCTGCAAATTTTAATATTATCTAAAATGCATAGTCTCGTAGTCTGGGTGAAATCAACAGAACTATGTCACACTGACGCGCTAAGCTCTCTAACTTCTAGGCCAGGATGAACTTTACGAAGCAAAAAAACGTCGTTAACAGTGGATCAAGCACTACCACTTGTAGAGCACCCACACTTTATTTTAATTTTGCGATGGCGTGCTCCAAACCAGTCTGCCGATTCGGAACAAGCGCATGCTTGTTGAAGACTCAAAGAAGTAACTGTATAAATGCATGCTACGGTTAACCAATTTAAAGTATCTTTTTACAATATAAAGATACGATACAAGAAAAAGCTCGTCATTGACCAGTAAAACAGGTAGCCTTTACTTAGACGATTTTGAATGGGAGTGTCAACAGGTGAAACGATATCGTACACATATACTATGGCTCGTCTCACCAGGGCCGACGTGCTCAATTACAAAATAGAGGTAGATACCTTCAGCGTCAGGCCTGAGAAACAACAAAAAGAAATATGCAAAAATTATTTGGGGGTAAGATGTTTTGCTTTACACTTAATTATATGCTTGATAAGTAAATTAACTTAAGCTTTAACATTTCTTACTAAATGAAAAGAAGACTATTTTTAATTCATCCATTTTCGTTTAGTCGTGAAACGTTAGGTTAGCGAAGCATAACAATCACCCTGTAATATTACATCCAGTTAATGTTTGAATATTCAGTTGTTGTTATATGTCAAATATTGTTAATATGTTCAAATCGGATGTATACTATAGTTTGTTTTTGATAAGCTTCACCATCTATGAATCTAAAAATTTCTATTTTTCGGCGTTGATCGCTTTAGTTAATGTTAGCATAATTATGTAATACAATTAAGACTAGCGTGATAAACTCCGACACTAATGACTAACTACGTCTAAGATGATGAGAAAAAGGTAAACTAAAACAACTTCTGTTACATCATAAGCGATTTTGAATTTCATCTAAGTAAAATTTTCTTAGACGTACTTCCATATGAAAGCCTAAAGTGAAGAACTATGTGCCTAACGTGTGAACAAACAAAAATTTAAGCAAAAGATACTCCATATGTTTATTATAATTCTTCGGATAATATGAATATATGATAGCAGTTGCGTTTCGTCTAGGTAGCTCATGTCAACGAATGAAATCAACTAAAGTAGGAACTCTCCCATAAACTATGAAACTGAGATAAACTGTCGTAAGGTTACTTGAGGGTGTGAACATTCCTAAAATCGCGAGTTTTTTACTTTCTGATAAACATAGTGTTTTGTCGGTCACGAGCAAGATAAGCGCGGTTTCCTGGCGCCCAGTAAATAGCGTACCAAATAGCTATCATTTTAATACTGGCTAAAACTGAATCCGCGCAAATAGTAAAATAGGATAACACACTAATGAACAGGAAAACAGTAGTTCGGGTTGCTCAGTAAAAAGTGCATGTCTGAGAAGAAGCTGACCTTACTAGAAACAGTTCGATCGCACAAACGCATTGACCTGAATGGTCATACTAGCATTTCGCATTAAAACGAACTCTTAAGGGTTGCTGTCCCAAGCGTAGATGGGCAGCGTGTTAAAAAAACTGGTGTTTAACCGGATGTTTCTGCGTGACTTGTATATTGAGCCTAGGTTAGCAAATTACAGGTGAACTTGAAACACTATTTGGCATTTTTAGTGAACATCATCTACGTATCAAAATAGAAAACTGTACCTGTATTTCATTATTAATACAGGTATTCAATTTTTAATCCCTTTACATCGTTATCGAAAACGTTGCGTATGTCTTAAGATGAACCTATAGCCAATTTCTAGGCGACTAGAGAGTCAGTCTTTGAACTGCGATAAATCGATTCATAGCCATTAAATTAAGGTTAAAATTGATTAAAGAAGTTTAGAATTGAACGCTTCATCTTTAGTGCAATAATCATCTTATTTATCTGAAAACGGCAGAAGATTAAATTAATTTCGACAATTTTCAATCGAGCTGTCTTCGAACGGAAGTATCTAGTTTGGAATTAGAGACACAATTACTATTATTGTTATTACCGATGGCGTATAATTAAATAGGCTCCGCTAGTTGAATATTTTCTTCATTTCTTTCCCATATGAAGAATCTAAGCAATAGAGCTACGAAGATCTTTTGTTATAAAGCTCCAGAATAAATCATAAGGCTCTTACGAATATTGAGAACTTAATAATACTTAGTATACTTTTATATTTTTAATTAATAATTAAATAAAATTTGATAATTAAAAAGTATATTTTTAATTATCAAATTTTACCCTGATATATATTTATTTCTATTGCCTATAGGATTAAAAATAATGGATATAATGCTCACCAGAGTTCTAGGCAATTCATGCAGAAAAGAGATTTAGTTTTTGTTATCAAATATACTTTTATTACCCCTAACGGAACAATATTCATAAAACTATTGCGCCATATTACCTTCGAAATAATAATGCAGTTTGTCAATCTCTGGTTGAATAATGGTGAAGAGGCTAGTTGTACCGTAAAATCTGACAAGTACATAGTTTTGTGCATCTACATTTTTGCACATTTAGCTTTTACGTATCTGTGGCGGAAAAGATTAATCCATGATTCCTTACGATCCATTTAAAAAGATAGACTTTTATCTGAATTACAGCAACAGTTTGGTAAATATTCTGGTTCGAAGAGATTTTGATTTAATCAAGCTTCGTTTAGTTACTTTGGTTGTTTTTGAGAACGTACTTATCAATGCAGATGCTAATTACACGATGCCAAACGGGAAATGTGACGTATTAAAAATGGAAGATACGAATATTACAATTTCCGAGAACTGTCTATAATGCATTTAACATAAGAGTGCTTCCCGCGCTTACCGAAACTGCTTTCTAAAAATAAAATTTATTGTCACGTGTTTTTGGCTTAATACGGGTCCCATCAATAATATTACGTAGCGCTCAGTCTTGTTGGAAAGAAAAACAGCGCAAGAGATAGGTGTGCCATAACTAATTAAATTAATTAGACTGCGGACAGGAATCTCAATTAGGGCCCTAAAAGCCGTACCGGTATCTGTCCCGCGAGGCGTAAGGCAGTTCACTGCATTTAATTAAATGTTCGATAATTTTTATCAGCGTGTACTACGTTCCGCATTCTAGTCATTTCTATTTCAAACATAACTAAAGGAAGTCTTAGAAGATAGCATGCATAATCATAATAAAATTTCTTTATTAAAATGAATATATTGAGTCCTATTGTAGGAGATTTATGTACAGGAACGTAAGTTCATCTGACTCCATGGTAATGCTCAAGAGGTTTCGAATCCACAAGAAGTGTTTTTCCTACACAGGAGACTCCTATCGGGTAGTCTTCGAGGCAAATGTATACAAATGGGATCATTATATTACCGAGATCGTCACGAGGGTCCGGGTATATTGGTCGGTAATGTCGACTACATTACAGTGATTCAATAAGCTAGATCCCCGTATCAACGGAAATGACTGACTCGGTACGAACCGGCCCTTCATATATGCTAAACAATGTTGGCTTAGATTTACTCTCTGTACAGACATGCTACATTTTCTTTCAGTCGTTAATTTACTCTATCACATTAGAGACTGCCTCTTACTGTTAATTGATCAGACAACGGTAAGCGCCATAGTTTTGAAGTTCTACATATTTTAAAAAATGTGCTACGAGCTATATCACAAGCTGTACAGTAGTACCTTAGGAACCACCGACCTTTATTCCTATCCAACGTTTAAGACAAATTAAGCTCGAAATTGATATTGCTTTTCACTCACGTCACTTGACGGCCAGCTAACGATTCATGTTACATACTTTAAGAGGTCGTTCTAATCCAACTATTGCTTTGTGTTATCTTGGAAGGTTAATTTTGCTGTTTAAATGAATTACAACTGAATAGGTCTTCCTTCTTGTCCGGCCTCAGAAAAAGAATTTAGGCATGATTCTGTGTCCGCCTCAACATAGAAATAGGCCAAAAAATTGTCTCTCCTAATTAAGTGACAGTACCCGCGACGCAACGTCATCTAGCATCCAATCAATAGCCTGAAGAAGCGAATCCTCTGACGTAAACGCTGAACATGGAAAAACACGCCAATGATGCGAGGTTATAGACTCGAGCCGTAGATGTTCCGCTATATCCATGCAGTTCAGGGCTCCAGGTAGGTCCTGCAATAAGATAACAAAAAAAAACAAACAGTTGTCTTCGTTGATACAAAAACATGTAGGTCTGAAGGCTGACAGGGCTTTAGCAGCTTTTGAACCGTATTTAGAGCACTTTTATTGGCCACTGTTCATACCATCTGATAATGACGAATGCACTGAAACCCAACATTCCCATTATTTACTTCCTTACGGTTCTTTAATTTTCACAAAGACAAATGTTTATATAGGTGTAAAACATATATGAAAATTATATTTCATATATACCATCCTACATCGAATATTCTCGACAGGAATATTAAACTACGAGACGCATACAAGGTCTTCACCACTTCACCTGCTTATTAGCCAGTACAAGCAGTGTGGCGCCAAGCAGTCGTTCATCCTGTAACAGCCCGTGCAATTCCGTAGCGCAATCGTCCAATCTTCTTCTATCAGCCGAATCCACCACCCACACAATCGAATCCGTCGATTCAAAATAGTTCCGCCAATAGCAGCGTAACGAAGTTTGACCGCCAACATCCCAAAGATTAATCTGCAAGGTTCGTCAGGGGTGATACAAATATTTACTGGATGCCCATAGAATTTATACTACAAGCATGACTTGGACAGAGAAGCCACGTAGGCCCATACGGAGTTACTGCAATAGATACGTTGATATATTTACATGCAACAATTTATGTGCCCGTGTGGAAGATACAATCACGAAAACCGGCTTACAGAATTATTATTATTAACTCTATTATTGCTACTGTATTAAACTGACTAATAAAGAATACTGTGACAGATTACAGTATTGCAAACCTCCTAAAAGCTACATACGATAGGTGAAAAGTAAGGCATTTAGCGCAAGTACTGATTAACAGAATATAAGTGGAGAAAGACATAGAATTGTTTTTCTTTAATGCCGTACAAATTCATTTTTCAATAAAGTAAAATCAGTCACCATTCAGAATCTTACAGTGCTAATTCACTTCTTCATATGAGACGTAAGCTACCTTGTAATCACGATACTCCAGTGTCGTGATGTTAAAGCCTAACGTTGCCGCAATTACGTCAAGCGGCTCTCCAAGCAGTCGTTTCGACAAAGTGGTTTTACCTAGAAGCAGGAGCAACAAGTAGACGACTGATACGATTTGTCAACAGAAATCAGCTTTAGGCGATAATTATCAATACACTTGGTCGACACGTTTTGTAGGATTCCACAGTAATCACAGTAGATCAAGTAATACCTGAATGCAGCATTCATATAATACAGAGTAAATTATTTTAAATTAAGCTATCTGCAATACACGTTCTAAATTTAGAGTTCTAACGAATTTGTAATAGTTGTTCATTTTACCTGCATTATCGAGTCCTAAAACCAGAGTTCGCAATTCGTGCTCTTTTCGACGGACCTTGCGTAGAATATATAGTAAAACCATGTTGATGCTGAGAAAACGCCTTCTGTCTGTGAAGACAATTGTTATGGGCCGAGAGTGAACGTTGATATAGAACAATATACAAAAACGGGAATCTCACTTTACTAACACATTTTCGCACCAGGAAAACGCACTAGTTTTTGCAGTAGAAATCGTTCCCAAACAATAAGCTATAAAGATCTTCACTGTGCTAATTTTGTAGCTGTTTTGCCTTTTGAATGAAGCCAACTTTATTAGCGCCTAATACCTTGGACTCAAGATAGCTAGAATGTAGATACAAAAATCGTAAGTTAGAAATCAAAATTTAACTAGTATTTGTTCCCACAATACCATAATCCGAACGCCCACAAGGGAACGTGCATTGTGTAACATGTAAACCCAAGTGGGTCTTGTTTGACTCTCATTTGAAGCTGATTAAAATGATATCAATTTCACGACAATAATATCGTAATTGACTGATAATATAAAACTAATTTTCTTGTAAATACTCTAAACTACTATAATTATCACAAACACTAAGTAATGTATTCGCGCTGCTAGTCAAACGTTGTCGACTTTGACGTTGTCTAACTCAGAGAACGTTTTATATCTCACTAGCCGGCCGGTTTAACAGTTTAACCTCGAACAACGATTGGAAACAAGCTACTTCTACCACAAAAAAATACAACAAAAAAAAATACTGCTCAAATCAACAATTCAAATTTGTTACTTTGTCAGCTGGTCTAAACGAGCTAATCAACCGCTTCTCCAAACTTAGTCACAACCATCGTTTTTGAAGACTTTCCGTCGTTTAACGGCTTATTCTATGGAAGTCTGGGCGCGGGCTTGCGTAAGAGCTCACTGAGTGTATTAACCAAGGTAGGTACATATACTATGCATGTAATATATGTATATCAATCATCCGCTTTTGATAAATGTAATATATAATAATATATATATAATATATAATAATGTGCGTTTATGTGTCGTTATTAAGACTAGAAGCATTGGCCTACGTTCTCTCGTACATACAGGTACATGCAGTTAATATATATATCTACATATATATTCGTACAAAGGAGCTGGGCCAGTATTTGAATATATATATATAACCAAAAACATTTTAGGATAAAGGTAGCAGTGTATAAAAATTCTAATTTAGTCTGAGAGTGTCTCCGTTGACGAAAGTATCAAACAAGTATGATAGAAGTTTACATGTGTGAAAAAAAGTGCAAAAAGTAAGCTTCAATAAGCTAAGAAAAACTAATCAATTATTTGTACAGAGCATTACAGATTTTTCCTAGAGGTCAGTCATATTATATAATATTTTTTAGTGGATATTTTGAATTCCAACTGTCGATAAAAGCGTTGTAAGTCTACCACACATTACCCTGACGATGCTGTATGAGGAACTTATCGTATAAATAAATGATTCGGGTTTGGCGTATGATACCGGCGTTAGGCATTGCCTTAGACATCTGGCTTTGAGCAGAAAACGAAATGTATCTATAGCTAGTTTTAAACCTAGAACAATACGCGTTCTATAGTGCAGTAGACAAACACATTACTACGGCGCTTTTCTCTGAGAAAGGGAGATCCACAAAGGAAGTGAAGGGTTGATTCAAGGCTTGGCACTTCGTGGTACTGTTAATTTCTCAAATGCAAAGTATGAGTTAACTCTAATGAGGTGGGGCGAAAAGAATCAGGAGTTTACACCTGAGCAAAGCTACAGAGAGTTGTGGGACACTGTAGATTGTCGTTAAAAAAGTATTGAGCAAACTGAGAAGTACGCTTTGCTTACTACCACTTTATGTTTTAGGCTTTAAAATTCAGCAAATTTTAGTAGTCATTTTATATAATTTTTATTTTGATAATTTTATTTTAAAACCACCGCTTAGGTTTACCAACGTTCTACATTGAGGTCGTTTGAGTTGTTCATGACATCTGTAATATTCTCACAACGATGACACTTTTAACTTATAGATAAACTTGAGTAGTTATCTTTGCAGTCTGATATGTATGATAAATATCATTGAGTAGTTGTAAATCTATAGACATCTATAAATTGTGGACTAGTGTGCATTTTGGCTTTCATTCAGTCACCAGGCGACCATTAAGCGCAGCAATTCAAAATTTGAAATCACTTGAATATATATATAAAACAGTGAAACCAAATGAAAAACGTAAAATGTTGACTAAAAATCAGCAACAAAAGACAGCGTAATATTATATAAAATTAAAACGACTTAGTCCAATCTGTTCAGGTATTTCCATTTTTTTTTCGGCGGGGTTTGTTGAGATCTCTTAAAAAATATGCTCAGAGAATCTTTGGGTCCATATTTTCTAAATTTAGCGTATCTGCATACGGTCCTTAACATAATGCTTAGTGATTTCTCGTCTTTTATGCAGACATCGTGCGAATTCGAATACGAAGGCAACACCAGTTAGTTTTATTATGGCAAAGCGGAAGTTGTACGGTTCTAGTTGTACGGTTTTGTAAATAATTTGCTCCGAACGAAGGTTACCTATGCAAATATATGGCTCAGTTGTTCTGCATAATGGCTACGAACGATGACAATAACAAACTGATCACAGCAAAGCGTTGAATGGAAAAAATCGAACGGATTTTCAAATCGGATGCAGGTGTGCCGGTTTTCATGTAATGTTCAGCCAAAAAAAAAGTACCCCTTGTCCCGTATTCGATTATCAAATAGACATGGTCATACAATGAGATTACTAGAACCGTAGTTATAACGGAAGACATTGCGTTTAAACGTAAATGATAAATTTTCAGTGTAACATGCTTGTCAGTATAAAAAAAATAAATGAAAAATCGGCCAGGTGTTGTATTATAGAAACAAGTTGACGCATTGGCCGATCATTTCTCCTATGACTATAAGGCCTTTGCGAAACTCTGAGCCAACGAGCTTTACCGTAACTATAAAACATGTACAGAGAAGTTGTATTTTGGGAATTCTTGCGAAGATTTCCGGTGCGAGCTATTACACTTTGCTTGCTTTCCACTCACTAAAGTCTCTCTATAAACGCTTGTAGTATGCTGGAAGAATCCAATCTAGTGTCAGGTATGATATCTGCATGCGGATAGCAATTATGTTTGGCAGATTTGTTTCTATAAGATTAGATAACTGAATGCAGTATTTACGGTGTGCCTTTTAGGAATACTAACGGTAGTCTTATACAGTAGTTTTGTGAACAATTTCAGAGAAAAAGAAATCTTTAATTTAGTAAGAGAATACTGGCACATGCATCAAGCTTTAAGCACAACAAGCAAGAAATAGACACGAAATTATGTACAGTTGTATTCTAACAATGTCTCTGCCTTGTTTACTAGCCAATACTTTCTTGGATTAGACCATAGTCGTCAATTTTTGGTGTTGTATACAATGCAATGCATTTTTCTTTCAGGCGCAGTTGTCCTTACCAGTATGCTCACTGAAAGCAGAAAAAATGGCGTTTTTAATTGAATAGTCAGATCTCATATGTTGTCCAGAAACTACTTAATCTATCGGGCCGCCCATCAAACACATCAGCTATTGTTCCGAGAAGCTTCTCTTAATCAAGGGAGTTTCAACTCTCTCATCACCCTTACTCGACATGTGGCGCTTGCATCGCCAAAACTAACGTTAAAAATTGCATCTCATAGCGCCTCTAGGTTCTTTCAAGCGCCTTCAACTGGCGCAAGAGTCGAGCTTTTGCACGGTGTATCTGTGAATTCGTCTTGACCGTCGTCCGTAGCAGAATGGTCTTGGATAAAATGGCTCTCATTATGAAGTTTGTAATTTTTGCGATATTGCTCATATCCGTTGTCATAACTCGATCAAAGGCTGTCGCTACTGACGAACTTGAGGAGCCGGAACAATCAACGTGGTATCTGCCCTCGTGGGATCAGACAATGCAGCTCACAAGGTTTTTAGTCGACGCAATGGTAAAATCATCTGTACAAGAGCAGCAGAACCAAGAACCAGTACTCGACACAGGCATTCCTATAAGTTTACTGCCACTTCAACCGCAGCAAGAAGAGAATGTCGACGACGATTTGCTGAAACGATCACAGAATCTTGTGACTCAGCAGAACTACTTGCAGCTGGCGCCCCAGCAACACCAGACGGCTGAACAGGAAGAGCCTGTGACGTTACAGCAATCTACTGCTCAATCGGCTACACGACAGCAGGTTCAGCCACAAACTCGGTCCCAGAGCGGGTTCCAACCAGCAACCCAACGACCGATCGTACGAAAACCCGTGATTCGGCCAACGATGACACCAGCTCTTACATTAACGACAGGACCAGCGTCAGCTCTGGCCTCGATGTTCGTCTCCTGGATGTTCGGCTCACAGCAACAAGAGCAGTTAGACCCTGCAACAAATTCGGCTTTACCAGCGAACTCCGTCAGTGATGTTCTTACCAACGCGGCTAGGGATCCAGCTGTTCGTTCGGTCGCCCAGAAGATAATCGGTGATCTGGCCTCGGTCTACCTCCGGCCACAGTCATCAACACCGATGAAACAAGCCCCTGTTGATGATTGGGGTATAACGGACACTTCTAGTGGGGGACACAATGAAAGCACTGAGCCCGCCGATGCCGCGATTCCACCTACGGAGACGAAAGCAGGCGGATGGGGCAGCTGGTTTGGTTAGAGATGTGATATTTGATAGTATGTGTATATTGTAGGTAAACGTGAGTGGAGGGCTGTTGACAAATTTCGCACACCCCGGAAACTGCAGCACGATATTGGCGTTCAAGAGCAAGTTAAACGTATCTCTACAAATAAGATTTTTTACTCATATAGTAAGCAAATAATACACAAAATTATAATTATTATATTATTCATTCTAACAATTCTTCCCTTTGTTATGGTTCAACATAATTTTTCACAAACTTGCATCGTTGACCCGTTCGGCACTCCATATAGCCAATCGTTCTATGCTGATCGCTGCACAGGCGATCATACCATAAAAGCCCCTATTTAGTAAATTTTCGTACTATCGTACAGTATTTGTAATCAGCTTCAATGCGTTTCTTTGTAATATAGATAGATATTGGAAAAAGTCCCATGGGACTTTCGTGAGGTACAATCAACTTCAATGAATCATGATCTTTATAGTAAGTAGGTAGAATCGTATTGCAAAGTTTCAGAACATGTCTTGAAAGCCTATAAGGTCATCTTTATGTATTTTGTACTGAATCGCCTAGTATACTTGCGCAGATCTCACTTAGAAGGCAACTTTAACATAATGAAAGTAATAATAATGATTCATACAATCTTATTCTTTTATGATGTGTACTTTATGGAGCATCGTATTTTCAAAAGTATTATTTAGCAAACTATCTATTATTGTACAGTATTTGCAACATGTTCTAACACGCTCTAATATCACTACTATTCATGATACTGTAGTAAGATATTCAACGTTTAAATAAACTGTCTAATTATGTGGATTATGTCATCTATGTTTTGTTGTGACTACGGCTTCTGATTCAATTGGACATATATTTTTGTTCCAAATCGTAAACGATGTTAGCTATTTACTCGCAGCTGGCCAACACTTCATTCAAGTCGTATGATACTTCATCTTCGTAACGATCCCCATTAAGTCGACCACCTTGAAATGTGTGATTTTACATATATATATATATATATATATATATATATATATATATATATATATACATACATATGGGTAAATAGTGGTGTTGTAATTATATATTCAGATTCTATATACACCAACTGCTCGGGCTACACAGAAATATATAGATATTGTGGTACTGAGCAAACTTTTCTAACCGAACTGCTGAGCTGTTCAGTTAGTGCTAAGTCAATTTAATAGTAGCGTATAATCGACACTGGGGATACAAGTTAAAGTATAAAATCTTATGTCAATCTTATTAAGCGGCTACGTTTAGGGATATAACTTTCGGTGGAATTGACAACACGCAAAAACTGTTTAGATTGTTACGGAGTCCTTAGTAGATGCTGCGGTAACTCTGTTCATGCTATATTCTGCATATTTTATTTGCCTTATTTTGTGAGAGGTGTACACAGTTCCATGAAATTTTCTAGCAAAATAAAGTAACTATGTTGGAAAACTGTAACGCAGAGACCGAGATCTCATTGTATCGACCCCTTATTGGAAGATGGTTTATCTACACTGTTACTGCTAAGACCTAGTTTTCAATAGTGTTAACATCTGCAGGAAGTATTTATCCAAGTCACTGAGATTTTTGGGACGACCAAAGAGGTCTCGCAAAAGTAAGTTAAAAATTTTTTTTGTTGTTGCTTAGCGCTGGATTTTACCCGTCTACGCACGCTTGCACCACAATTTTATATGAAGTATTAACGAAGCCATCAGCTACATCGAAAGTGTCATCTCGGATTCCTTAATATTATAATTCGGACATAATTTAAACATTAAATTTAATTACTGATCAGGCTACATTCACTACATATCACGAATTCATTTTCCGTCCAGGCATTGTCGTATGCAGAACTGTAGATAAATACATTTTAAGTACGACATTGAATAGTAAACTTGAATCATATGCTACTCCTCTTTTGAGGATTAAATGCTCATTTTAAATAACAGCAGATATCAAAAGGCCAAAAAAAGCTATGTTCACAACACGAGTGAGCCACTTTCGTTAGCAACAGCTATAGCAAAAAGGGTACTGCAGTAACCTACGAGAGTAGTGGTCCAATGATCTGCGGATTAGGACTTCTCCTTTCCGTCGATTAGTGTCGGGGCAGATCGTTCACTACGAACTGTTGCCAAACACACTTACGTGGCAGAATCGAGTACTTTTCGATTTGATGTTTTTTTTTTTTTACCTCTCCACGTGGTTAGCAAGAATCAAAAGCGCTTCACAAGCAGATCGATCCAAGTGTTAGTGACGCGTCGCACTAATGCGCAATAGGAACAATCAAACCTACTGCGAACCTTTGTGGTAGAACGAAGTTTAAAACCGTCTGTCACTGATTGCCAGTTGTTTGAGATGGCCGAAGTTGATCCAAAAAAAGCGACATCCATTTACGAGTTTACTGTAAAGAACATCGATGGGGATGAAGTTAAGCTTGATAAATACAGGGGAAAGGTCAGTGAACTATTATTACACAGCCTGTTCACTCACTGCATTAAGAAGAAAGTACACAAATGAATAAAAACATTCTAAATTAGTAGAATAATACAGCAATAATACATAGTGAAACTAAGGTAAAGTCAAACTTCTTTGAGCAGTCCGTAAGATTCGCTGGGTTTTTGTTAATTCCTTATTGTAAACAAGACATTCTCTCGGACCATAACTGAATGAAATTCTTAAACGGTAATGACGAACAGTAGCAATTAATAGGAACCGTACGGTTATTTTTATAGGAGTTGAGACTCTTACGCTGGGCCGTCGATTTGACAGGGGAGACATACCAAAGTATAGCTAGCCTTCAATTGTTTGTATAAAAAGTCGAATTACTTTAATATAAGCACTTTTCGAAGCCAGTAACGTGGTTTTAATAATGGCCTAAATGCATTTAGTTGGTAGTGTGCAGTTTACGGGAAAAACTGTAACGATCAGGGATTTTCTCGATTTTGCTAAATATAATTTGTTTTTATCAAAGTATTCCACATGCGTTTTGGAAATAACAGTGGTATATAAAAAGCTGTCATCTCATAATTATATGCTTTCAGCATTTTTTAGTTTGAACCAAAATGGCAGTCGGTCATCCGATTCAATGCCCACCAGCAGTAAAAAACACGAACAGAACCTGCTCGGTCAAATCGAGGACTAACGCACACACACGAAAAGTCAACTAGTTAAACTAACTAATTTACCTATCTAATTATCGTAACAAGAGCATTATTGTATTAGTAAAAATATTTCCTAATCAAAATCGACATAAATTTCTTCGCACGGAGAATCACGTAGATGGCGTTGCTTTAGCATACTTGACTGATTCCATATTAGTGAGCCTGATTATTATATTAGAGACCTAGGTTATTCTACCAAAACATCCAGTTAATAACGATACCCTTAGCGGCGATGTTAACCAACCGAATTCAGATCAATTAGAAATTATGACTACTCAATGGGCTTACTCAGTGACTTTTATGCAACATTCAACAACTCAAAGAACGCTCATCGCTTCTTTCGAATTTACGAGTGGCTTCTTTGGGACACTTATTTGCCTTCAAGATCGTTGTTTAATCGTAAAGGAATAGCCTTAGAATGCACTATATTGAATCCATAAACAATTATTAAATATTTTTAATGGACAGTTAAATTAGGAAAATATCAAGCTTGCACGAAAGGGGTGAGTTCCACATTCACTATGAACGCGTAATACGACAAACTTTACTGTACTGCTGACTCACCATCACCGGTATAATAATGAAATCGTTATTATTTTTGTCTTGCAGGTCGTACTTATCGTAAACGTCGCGTCGAAGTGCGGCTATACCGGACAATATGAAGGCCTTGAGAAGTTACACCAGAAGTACAAGGACCGAGTAGGTTATTGTACTGTGCTCCAATACCGACTCTTATCTGAAGTTTTGTAGGATTGTTCAAACGAGATTTATTTGCTAGACATCGCATATGATAACGAGTGATGACTACGAATCGGTTTGCTCGATTATCATCGTATCTGTGGTTGACTGATCTATTTCTGGTGAACGACAATTTTTAAAAAAGATATTTTATGTCTGCGATCATCATGATTTATATGCCGACGTAGTGTATATATAGTGTTCTGTTTCACTTTCAATCAGTGACCGTACGTATGCGAGGAATACCCGATTTTTTTTATCAACAGATTACACAAACTTATGTATGAACCAGTGTTTGTAGCTCGGTTTAAGAAGAGAAACTCGCAGGACTGCATTGTCGATTGTATCGTACGGCGCGTGCGGCGCAGAATTAGGGAGTCTTTAGATAAATTAAGAATTTTAATATGATTAATCTCTAATTCATTTTAGGGCTTCGCTATTCTCGGCTTTCCGTGCAATCAGTTTAAATCACAGGAGCCCGGAAATGAACGAGAAATCAAAGAATTCTGCTCATTGAAGTATAACGTCACGTTCGACATGTTCAAAAAGGTGAAAAGGCATTTGAATGAGATCATATGATTTAATAGCACCAATATTATGAGCCGTATAAAGCTAGACTGGGGTATCTGTTCCGCGGTAAGATTCAAACGTGGTGACGCATTATGATGAAACTAAGTCGCCTTACGTGCCGTTTTGAGCTGGAGTTGCTTCGCGAATAAAGGCGCCTCGATAGAATTATCCCTTCGTAACAGCGCCGACAGTCAAGTACTGTTCCTAGAAGCGTTTAAAGATAGATTTGAATACGACATTTGTAACATTTACTAAATGTGGCTCATCGTTTATGTAACGGCTTGTTGGTCAATAAATGTCCATGCATTACAAATTACTAGTTTTTACACATGGATTGTATGCGTGAAAATAGTTTATATGCATTACAATAGTAATTAATATGTGATGCGTTTGTTGCAGATTAACGTGAACGGCTCGCACGCAGAACCACTTTGGGTGTATCTAAAAAAAGAGCAGCATGGCTTTCTTATCGATGCCATAAAGTGGAACTTCACCAAATTTCTTATCAATAAAGAAGGTTGTTTTATTATCTGGAATAGAGCACAGATGGATTTGCATTTTTATACTTCTCTCCTTTTGTCTCTCCTTTTATTACGAATTTCCTCGAAATTCGGATCGGGTCATGCTTTTCAGTTAATGATATCCTGTTTAATTGAATAACGTGGCATTTACACATGATTTTATCACTATGGGCGATGTCGCCAACAGTAAGCTAAGGTTAGGGATTACGTTCTTCGTTAGACTATAGGCAGTACCCTACTGACATTGAATCTGCACACATGAAATAGCACGCAAAACTCCAGGTGTCAGCGCTTATTGTCATTAAGATTTTCTTTTTTGCTGAAGTAGTTCTCAAATGATATACACGATATTTCATATCTCAAGGCTGACCAAGAGTAAACATAAACTATTGTACGCACCTATTTCACTGTGTATGCATCTGCGTTACTGCTGTTCGTTACAAGAGAAAAGCATAGAAACAGTCGATCGTTTTGTCTGTGTTTTTGTTTCAGGCAAACCGGTTAAGCGATTCTCGCCTGCAGATGAACCGGTTACTCTGGAAGCAGATATCGAAGCTTTGTTCGCTTAAGTGGCGAGCGAATCACAGAGTTAGCAACGGGCTCATCGTGAATGCTACAAGACACTTCTACCTCGATCGGGTTGAAAATAGCAAACAAATCTAAGAAAATGAAGATGTGACTATTCATTGATAGAAATGAGCGAAAAGGCGCACTTTTTTATCAAGGCTGCAAGAAAGGGGTTCGATGCTGACAGCAAAAAAAGATAGTGCGGTAGAAATTCTGAACAAAATAGATTGGACGAACGAAAATTCGTAGAGCTGGTTGTTGCCTCAGACAGTGCTATCGATAGATAACTCCATTTAGATTCAATGTCGAATAGAAAGTGCTCAAACATTTGAAATAGAGTATACGAACTTAATTGAATGACAGTAACATATTTAGTCAGTGCAAAACGATATCCAGTCCGTCTTATCGCAAAGCATGCGATAACGGCACTGGCGGACGTTTTGAGTCACACGGCAGAGGCCTTGCGGTAATTTACCAATTCGTAACTAAAACGTTTGAAAATGAAAAGTATAACTATTTATGGCATGCTATTATGAATGGAAATCCAGGGACCTTCTTCCGTGCAATAAATTAAACATTTTTTACAGAACAATACATTTTGCCATAATCTTGTGGGGTTAATTTGTTTGTAGTGTGTTCAATTGTCGTATGTATCACTTAAAAGTGTTCCGTGAACACGTCAGCCAAATTACTTAGTCCATAACTACATGGATTCTATTGATGGAATTATTTAACAGTGATTCATTTTTTTAATCATATCAAGTCCGTGAGCTCTATGAAAACAAATATCCCACCACTAGATACGAATCCACGGCATATCGAAACAGTTTATCAACAAATGTAGCCACGTCTGCAAAATAAACAACTATTCACAGCATAAATTCGTATAATTAATTATATGAAAAAATAATTTTTATGAGATTAAACAAGGTCTGTAGAAGAACAGCACAAAAGATATACTTTTTTTCCCGGTTTTAGCTATCCAAAGACATGCTCTGGCTTTCGCAATGACTACTCAGTGATGATGACTGCTATTTGAACGCTATCTAAACATAATTCAGATCGGCTTTTCATCTACAAATTTGGCGAACTCGAAAAATCATAAAGAGCAGAAACTAATAATTCGTCGCTAACACAAAGCGCATAGAATTTTTGTAGCAATCGATTTTCAATTCTTAAATTACATTCTCAAACACTGGTTTCTGACGACTGACCCAATTATAATTCCAATTCCTTTCATCTTAGAGATGTGTCTTTTCGTTGCTGGAAATAGGGCAATTAATGCGCTAAACGAGCTCGAACTAAAAGAATAAATTCTTTGTTTAGGTTTTCTGGCACTATGAGTATTCCGAGAATCGAAAGTATCGCCTTTAGGGAAAAGACCCGATTTACCTAATTACGATTTAGTCCGATTTACCTAATCAAGTTTTGCCCAGATTTCGACTACATTCGTAGGTTTTTTAAAGTAGGTTGTATATTTCTTTTAAATATTAAATGTATGTGGTCCGGTTGAGGCTAGAACGAACGAGGCATGCAGACTTCTGTAACAATTACTTCTCGAAGCTTTACTTATTATTCTAATGAAGCATTTTTTTAGATTCGCGAAAACTTAAGTCTCAAATTGGAGTTCAAAAACATATATCATGCACAAAAAGGAAGAATTCCTCACTTTAAAAATGGTTTTGGAATTAGTAAGAATTTATACAATACAAAGATTGTAGGAAACGATATAGAAATTACTCTTTGATGTGCCAATTATCTTCTAATCAATTATATTGGTTTGGTAAAAAAAGATTTATTGTTTTTAAGCCAAAATACTAATTATCAACCAAATACGTGCCAATTTGACGCGTGACGTTTTGCTATTTTTCTGGTTAGACCTTTCTATCATCATTGTGGAACTTCTGTGATCTCCAAGCAAAAATTGCAGCAAGCGGTTCTTGTATTTTTTCATTGGCATTAAATTTGCACACTTAGAGAAGTTTTTCGGATACTGAAACAGATGGTGGCTTTATGGTTTATGGTGCAAGATTTGGGCTACATTGTGGATGCATAAAAATTTTTGACCCAAGTTCTTCCGATATCTTCCAGGTAGGTAAAGATGTATGTGGTCTGCCTTTGCCATAGCGGGAGAGGATGCCCTTTCTGTACACTAATTACCGTCGATTTTTTTTTCCAGTGGACTGCTGTAATCTTATTAATTGTTGACAGTAGAAGTCGAAATCAATCAAGCAATTTATGTTAGATAGATAATTAGAAAATTTAATCCTACCGAACACATACAGTAGCCAATCTGATTTTTGCCATAGATTTTGGAGCATATCTTTCATTTACGCATTATTATCGTATCCCATCCACATTTCATCATTCATGATTTACATATAGCTTGATTTCGTTGCGTTTTTGCTAAGTTTCATGAATGGAAGTATAATCGAGTAGATTCTTTTGCGTCAATCTGACTTTCAATCAAACTTTGAATTTTTTCTTATCCAGCTTTCTTCGAATGGCTTTGGTAATGGATATTTAGTTTCTTGACGATGTCATGAATAAGTGTCTATCGATCTTGCTCAACTTTTGCAGTAATTTCATCAGCTTTTTTCGTAATTGGGTGATCTTTGCCTGGAGCATCTTTCACATCGAAATTTCTTGAATGAAACTGACAGAATCATCTTTGGGCGATTTCTTCCAATGGCGCGTCTTGGACGTTTATGACTTAAGATATGCGGCTTTAAAACTACCTAGCTAGAAAACTGGTAACTACTTTTTCGACGATCAAATAAATCGTTTTTTTTTTCATATTTTCATCACTGCTTTTAGAAAGCTCGTTATCGATAGTTATTGTACACTCTGTACGATTGGGATCGTTGACGCAGGTCATCCGCATTAAGACGTTCATAACTAGGGTTGTAGAGGAAGCTTAAGACTGCATCATCAAGAACACCGAAAGAAAACAGTAGTATAGGATTGAGAGCACGTCTTACAAGTGGTCTGATCTTGCAACAAGCTTGTATGTACTGGCTGAGTGCGTGGATGATATCCCTAAAACAAATCATTCGTGTCAGTTAAAAGATCTTGCCTACTTTCTCCTATAAGCATTCTTCTAAAAATGACCCGTGTCGCTATATAGAAGGTTTTATATAGGAGGTACCTACCTACATATTTGTCAGACGAACTATCACTAAACGAGTATCATTTTTTTTTACTATAGATTAAAGTGAAACTAAACAGAAAAGTTGGAATTCTTTATTAGTCATGTGGCTTCAATCAGCTTCAGAAGTAAAAAAAAGATACTCCACTTTACGTATACGTACACACACATACACGTATCCAGCCGGCGCTCTTATGCGTAGGCATGGTTTTATGCAGGGGCGTTGGACATATTCCCGCTGCACACTTTTGTACTGCGTTTTTTCTACGCCTTCTTTTCTCCGTCTTCAAGACGTTGGTGCTCTTGTTTCTCTCTAAGATGACTAGTAGTATTGATGCGGTGGATCCCCTTTTACTGGAAGTTACGCCATCCTACGCTCATTCTGCCTTTGTAGCAGCCCCTTTAAGAGGCTGTTCTCTTTACCCGTCTTTTTTTCTAAGACAAGCCGCGCGTCTGCTTAGATCACTCAGTCAATACCTTTAGATTTTCTGCTGTTTGGGTGGCAGACCATACCACGGGCTGGTCCCGGCGGCCACGGAAGTTCTTCCTTAATTATGAGGGGTTCTTCCGCTTGTCTACAATGTCGCAAGCGACACCTCTTCTCAGACCTTCCGCCCCTTTCTCCTCTAAGAGAGCGCTGAGCTAACAGCGTTACTCTGCTACTCAGAGCTTCACATGTGAACGCAATTCCGACTGCCAACAACCCTTTCCCACCGACACTGACGGCGAACATTACGGCAGTTACTACAGTTTGCTATCAGGAGTTCCACAACCCAGCATACCTTTTCCGGTTTTTCTTTTCCTTACACTTTTCGATTTTACACACACGCGCATACTTCCCAAAGTTCCGAATTGCTCCTCTCTTGGCCGTCCGGCCAAGAACTCGCCGAAGTCGTGGTGAGCCGACTTACCGCGGGAGCTGGGGCACCGCTCTGCTGTCCTATCCGGTGGGTCGGAACCAAAGAAAAAGGGTGAACGGAGCAACGGAGGACAAGTGGGGTTGATAGAGGGGCTTAAAAACCGGCTTCCCTTATCCTCACTTCATTCTAGCCAGCGTTCCCTCTCCCAACTGGAGGACTCCATCTTGCTTTCAGCGTGCCCCCGGAGACTCTGCTGGTTGCGGCGCATTCATTGTGACGTTGTCTACCCAACGTTTCGCATCTTGGCTGAGAGTATTATTTTACATCTTCAGCCGTCTTGTCGTTTTCGATTGCAACCGCATTAAACGCGTCGCAGGAGCTTCTGTCACAATAACAAGCAGGTGGCCCAGTGAGCGTGACTGCAACGCTGCGTTTACTATTATTTTGTATCCATCCGTGGCCGGTGTTCGAGTCGCAACGGGCATTGTCGTAAATCTTTGCAGTACCGCAGAGAAACATCGTGCGGCATTACCGCTGGTGACTTAGCTGGCTTTTGTCGACCTACCTGGTCCGTCGGCAGTCCGTGCTGTGTATCATTGGAACAGGCTTAAGTGTGCGAGATGTGCGCGGAGTTCAGCAGTTTCTTGGCTGCCGTCGTGGCGATTGTGAACCAACCCAAGAAACAGATCGGGGTAAGTAGGTGGCGGCTTGTTAGGTGAAATCCTTATGCTGCCTTAATAGTTGATTAAAGGCAGAGCGCGATACTGGACTAGCAGAGCTCTCTATATTGTTAATAATAGCATCTGCCCGCCAAAGCGGCGTTAATTATTGGCGCGCTTAGAGGAAAGCGCTGCTAGTGCACAAAAAGTAAACTGTACATATGAAATCAATTCATATCACAAATGCCATTGCCAGCACTAAACTGAAGCTTATCGCAGAAAAAACGGCTGGCCTTTACTTGGAAAGTTTGAAATCGGCCAAGTCCTTCGCTGGCGCGCCAGGTACAACTTTCTCTGAGTAAAATATGGATCGCCTATCGTAGAGGTCAATTGTATTCTAGAAAAACACTCCACTGGTCACCATCATAATCAGCTGGGGGAGCAGAGTATGTTAGGGTGAGAATTTAGTCGGTTTCGCAACCTCACAATAGGAAGCGTAACTGGTGTTACCGGCGGTGAAGAACAACGGATAAACAGAACGGGCTAATGTTCAATCAACTAATGGAATGTCCGATAAGCAGTCTAATTGTATCCAATGAAGAAAAATCTAGGCGTAACGAGCTACCGGTCCAATATATCAGAAGGACTCTTAGTTAATCTAATCTCGTTAAGTTCTATTTTATAGGTTGAGCAAAAGCGCAAGGGCATTACCAAAAAGCCTTTGGAATTGCGATTAATACGACGAGACAACTGAAAATTAATTGAGCGTACATTGAAAGAGAACTTCAGCCTTTCGTTATTCGCCTGTTACGCTGTCTGATAGTCGGATATTTTTCGGATAGTTTTCAAACTACGAATGGATCGGCTTGAAGCAGCCCCTGCCAATGGCATACAAGCGCACTTCGGTGGCCGCGATAGTATCTACTTTACATAATGTTTCTCGTGACAAGTTATTGTCACGTGCCGTTGGTGCTTACGTGTGAATAAACTGTAGAATGAACGCCATTATGAAATTCCTATAGTCGTGCTTGAAAACGCATGTTATGCTTTCATTATAGACCTGTCTTCATGCTAAGAATGAATGGGCCAATAGCTTTCCTAATCATGTGTAAGTAAAATACTTATTAAAAACGCTCTTGTATTGCGATAGGCGCGTGTGTAAGGAACGCACTGTATGAACGAACGAAATCAGCGACCAAGAGCGACAAAAATCGATAGGAATGACGCATTTAGCAAAACGTTGACTATAGTTTAAAGGGTACCCGTATCAAATAGAAGCTTACTTTTTTAGAACGGGATAAGATTTCCTCTCTTCTTTTGAGGATCGTTTCTGATTCGTCTTTCGCTATTGTAAGCCAACGTTTCTCCCACTCCGTGTTTATAGTATGTATCAAGCGCAATATTTAACACTATTCATATGGGCTTGCATATGACAATACCTGTGATCATTTTAATGAAAAACTCCTTATTAGTTTTATAGTTTTCAGGCATCTTGCATGGAAGGGATAGTAGTTAAGTGATCCCAGCACAGAACCTTGCGTTCGACGCTTATGGTTAATGGTTAATAGAACAAGAAGCCACTGTACAGCCCAATGTCGCAGACCTTCATTAAATGGCGTGTCCTTTGGACCCAGTCACATTATATGTGATCCACTAGAGAGTATATAAAATCTGCTTTGGTATACACATTGTGTATATTGTATATGTGTTTGTACGATTGTATAAACACACGCCCTAATACTGCATTTGACGGGAAACAGTCTTAAATAGAAATAGCTTTTATATCAAATGTTACGCTAGTTATATAGGCTCATGCCGAGGAATTGTCGGAAATGAATTCTTCACTAAAAGCGTCAAGATTCTCACGCACCATAAATCACAATTGGTGTAATATTGAGAGCCAATTATCCGTGTTATTTCCTCCTCTGATGAGGTAACGTGCAGAAATTATTGCCGCGAGACGTACGGAGATACAAAGATAAGTGCATGGTGCTCAACACGGCCATTTTACATAACGATTTTGGGTCAGATTTTCCGTTTTTAGTTTATCCTAAATTCATTCCTGTCTAATCTACTTGGGAAAGGTAGCGTTGGCACACTGTTACTTCGTATTTTTTGTGCCGGATGTCTGTATACTCAGATTTTCGTATATGGATCGAGAAGACATGCTGCATCTACCTAGAGTAGTTTTACATTTGGCATTGACGTTTGACACTCCGTCAGAGGGCTGGCTCCCACTAGGAAACGAACCGTGTGTTTATGCGCGAATCCTAACCTTGGCGATCATGTGTTCGTAAAATTATCAGACAAGTGCATTACACATTAAACTATCGCCGGAATATGCTCTTTCTATATGGCCATTCTTACCAGAATACTGAAATCTCCATCCGTATCTTTATAGCTCTAGATAATCCTGCACTCGTGAGCTCCGCCAGTCGCTCTCATCGTTCGCCGCTGCGAAGCTCCCAGTATCACTAACTGTTACCTCCGTGATGCTCACCGGGTGTTGTGAGCAACTGGTTTACCTAGTTAGTTCATTACTCTACCATAATATATTTGCCTTCCACGAACAAGAAGCAGGCGCATAGAACAGGACATTTTGCGTTTTTTCAATGTTCCAATCAACCGACGACAGCAGACAACCAACCCACTGGTTATTAATTGAATTCTAGCTCGGTCATACTCGATCCGCTCAGTTTTCTCTGGTTGATCTTATTGTTTTCGCTTACTCGTAGTTTTTCATCACGTCCTGCCTCCTTCTGTATCGTGATAACCCTGGCTCGCTGGAGTCTTTTTTGCAGAGATCCACTACTTGATTGATTCTGGTTTGCTGCAGCTGCCTACCGATTCAGCGTTTTTACGCCCATATTTTACATAGCCGACACAATCCGTGAAAAAGAAACTGATAATTAGTTTTCCAGTGAAACGTTTTCGAATCAAAATCAGCACCGCCATATCTGAGCAGACTACCACCTCAGTCTCTCCAGATATATTCCACCGATTTTGTTCCTTTGCTGTAAGCTTTGTAGAATGGCAGAGAGTAAATGCGTACAGTTTATATAGAGGGCTTCGAGGAAGACAATTATATAGCCGTGACGGCCTTGTATGAGAAAGGAGAACAACTATCCGAGACAAGTCTTTGCTCCTAACAATACTGGGGGTGAGCAAGGGGCGAAAGTACTTATAGCAAAGTCAGCAATGAGAGAAGGGTTAGAGAAAAGGAAAAGAAGAATAAGTTTTTGACTTCGAAAGGACTGGGCGGCAGGGCTTCTAACGAGCTTAGCAGTGCATCTGTGCGCGTTTGCATGCAAATTGAGCAGTACGATCAATAGGAATTTAATAACGAACTGATCCGAAATTGCAGAGATGATCTTGGCAAAAGCAGTACGAGTTGCTATGGCGGGTAGCACCATTATCTAGAAGGCGTGTATCGACGTACATACACTGAAGAGGCCTTTAGCAAATCATATCAGTATCAATAGCTCGGTCTAATTGGATTTGCATATGAGAAAGACGTGCTCGCTTCGCGTGACAATAGAGCGTTGAGTTTTTATAAGGCCAGCGACAAAAATCAGACAACTACCAAAAAACAGTAAGGTTGACATAGTCCCGATAGGGTGGAGTCGGCTTATGAACTTCCTAGCCTTGACGTTTCTACGTGGCGTTGAATATGAAACAGGACGTCAGTAATCTTCGTTGATGTGTCACAGTTGCCATTTGCTTAAATTGGTTTGTGTATTCTATTCCCTAGTATGTAACATGATGTTGTCACACATCTAGTTGCTGAAAACGCTTCCGTTTGTCACTAAAGTAGACAGTTATTTAATAAATGTCAGTCGCGGCTATCCATAGCATTTTACGGGTCTTCTGCACGATCGTGTATTTTTTTCTATAGAAATCGAATCTTTTATCCGCGCAAGAGTTTTGCCTTGTCTCTAGCTGTCTCCAACACCAATACAAATAGTAAAGTACAATGGAACATCTCCATGTTGCAGATAGGACTGAAAGTAAATAACACATTGGTCCTAATTTTCAACAGTCTCCATACCTACAGATTGTTCTGTAGATCCCGGTGTTTAAGTGAAAGCCGTTCATTTACGAATTTGAATAGAACAAGATTTCGCCGTTATTCGCATATACAGTTTGTTTGGGACTTTCTTCATTGTGGTTGCCACTACTTACGCTCAATGAAGTCACAATTTGTTGCGGACTTCCCGATTTATTACGTGATCCGCCATTTTGTTTTCCCATCGGTCGCTCGAGGGTTCGTCGCGAACAAAAGCTGCCCTTTCCTAAAAAAAGTGGGTACATCTAAAGATCGATTTTAAGTAAGCTTCTTACTGTATTGTAAATTAATGTTACATTGAATAGAACTATTTCTTTGACTTAAAACAGCCGAGCGTTAACAATGAACGTTGGATTTTTTAACAGAGTTACCTACGAAACCTGCATCAATTATGTACGTACTTCCTCCACGTTAATACTTACCGTCTGAATGCATATACATATTTTACATGACCGACTCGATTCATAAAAAAGAAAGTGATTATTAATTTTTCAATGAAAACTTGCAGCTAAAATTGTTCTAGGTCGCTTATCTATCTAATCGTTCACAATTTATTGTGAAATAAGGCAAAACATGACAATTTTCTCCATGTGAACGGCGTCAAATCGGCCAAGTAAAAGTATATATATATTATTTAAACATTTCTATTTTTGTAGCTACTTAAAAAAGGGAGCTATAAGCCGGACAGCTGTAAGACATTTTTACCGTCAGAGTCTTATCTCGCGAAAACATGTACTTGCGCCCGCAGTGGCAATTTAGGCAAGACGTTAAACTACGAGCAGTGTACCGTTTTCAAACGGCTCTAAACCGGCCCGGATCAACTTATTGTTGACTTTGATACCTCCACCAATCAAAAAGAACGATCGTTTGGTTATCAGTGGATTGTAAAGGATAAGGTGCGACCTTCAAAGATATGTACAGGTTTGCTAGCGGCTGATGGGCAAGGGACTCATGTAAGGGCTATAGAATATCGCAGACAGTGCGTAAATTGCTACGGCGATCAACGCCGTCGAATTTGCACTATTAGTGGATAGCGCGCTAGGCCTGAACCAATGACAAGCCGCTTGAGTGATAACCTTCAGTTTGCCTCGAAGGTTCTAAGGTAGCAACGGGTAAAACTGTGCACCAAGCAATTTCCCCTCATGTCCTTTCGGAAAGACAACCAGCGACTGCTCAGCTGAAGTAACTTAAACTGGCCCCTTGGTGATTTCGCCCACTTTTCCCGGCGCTCCGAGGCTAGGAATGGAACTAGATGACTAGCTAACTGCCTTAAGTATCAGGGTTGGATAAAGGGGTTCTCGATGGGCGTATTCGGTATGGGTAGAACCGCGGGCAGACTTCACTGTGTTGTAAGCAATTTAGCAGCGTATTTGTCCATCTGTATGGTGGAAAACGAAGTGTTTCAAACAATAGGAGAAACTTCGCATTTGTGTTATTTACGTATCGGGTATATAAGCACGATGCACAGACGTTTGAAGATTTATCAGTGAAAAGTTAGTTGCATATGAGACCGATCATTTAAGCTTTCTACCTGCATTTCAGCCCGCCCCTAGTTTTCGATCCTTGATACTTTTAAACCCAGACAGAATGCACAGCCAGCGGCGTGATCTACTAGCTCTAAGACTGATAATTTGGGTAGCGGATATGGCTAATGTAAAATTTCTATGTGCATCTCAATGTAAGCTACCAATGCTGTATTTACCTAAGTATGGGTTTATAGGAGAACAGAGATAATTGCCGAGGAGCCCTGCGCAACTCAATCTAGTTGAGCAGCTTTCGCCTCACTTCTTTGTTAGATCACTACTATTATTTTTGTTTTGTACGTTCCTCACCAACTCTTTTATCTAGAAAATGCAAATTTGATCTCCCGTTAGATGTATCATTGTCCCAAGGTAGTCACGAATGACGTCGCACAAGTTGACTGCTCTGATCATGTACTTTACTAGAAAAAATCTAGGTACGTCATCGTTGTTTAGAGCCCGCATCGGTCCTTCGCCAAATCCCTATTAGGAAAGAAGCTCGATCAAAAAAAAAAAAGAACATTCATTGAGCCCGTCTCTGTTGGCTTTCTTTTTGTAAGTTCTGCCGTTTTATTTATCTAATTTATCTAAGCTAATAATGAGAAATGAGCAATTAATTAGTCTCCTAAAAAATAAACTTCCTTCTTCTGGATCTACGAGAAGACTACCGCCCTAGTCATATTTCAAAATCCGCTCCGGTGAAGTTAACAAATATTTAATATTGCTTAACATCGTGACGTCTTCTTTGTTGTAATCAGGGATACCGTCCGCTTCTATGAATAGGACTAACCTTGTCGTTAAAACAGCCTTAATTTTTAGGACAAGAACAGGCTACCCGGTTGGATGTCATCGGAAGCTTAATATAGTTTGTGGCATTTCTCTACTTGTCTACGCCCTGTTTCCAACTTACGCTGCAGTGTCTTTTATTGGGCAAAATGAAATTGGTTTATTAATACTTGCGTTCCGTCCGGGATTAACGAAGTCCTGAAAACTTTCATTCGAAGTAATGACTTTATTATTGCACTGCATCATGATTCGTGTTTTTTTTAAGTATGTTTTGTTTGGCTTACGTGTGACCCTGCCTCATTACTTCGAAACATAAATTCCACAGTATATATTGCCTGAGTTTAGTCGAACCCAGCTTGATATCCAGCTACCTTTCTCGACGGTTCTCTCTACGAGCAGTTAGACCTAATAAATAACATACGTCGTATTAATGAAGGACTGGTCCACCCAGTCTTTTTATATAGATTGGCAGGTAAATGCAAGCTAATCCGGACGCACAATATCCCCCAAGGCTGTCTAAAGCCCCCTTTGCGAATGGAGCTCGTACAGGAGGCGACCAGCGTGGTACAGTGATGCAGTAACTTCAAGACATTTGCTAAGTGCCATCCTCGACTAGAGTCTATCTGTGGCGCCCTTGAACTATCCGCCATCACTGATAGCAGAAGCCGCTCTTTGAATGCCGCTGTGACCGCCATCGTTAGACAGATCGCATTGGCGCGCTTTTCAAGATCCTTATATTTCACTTTGCTTGCACTCGGATACGCACGCGTTAACAAGTCACGTTCTGCAAGGTTTTCGCGGACGTCAGCCGGGAACCTCTAGGGTCCACGTATCGGCATGAAACTCACCTGCTATATGCTGGTCTGGGCAAGAGGAGAATTTGAAATGTATTTTGATGATAATTAAGAATTTTACACAGATTTCGCATGCGTAATAGAGGTTTTATGAACATCTAAAATGGCTCAATAGTACAACACTGTGCCGACTATAACGCAATATACAAAAGACAATGATTATAACGCAAGTCACGCCATTTATGGGTCCCGAAAGAGACGAGAAATCATCACTTCAATGACACACTCACTACATAATCTGTGTAAATAAAGGAGGATACTGTATGAACCGTAAAGCAAATCGATACTACCGTAGAGATATCTTTGCTCACTGTTACCTGTGGAGATACGAATCGCATGGAGATGTGCCAGAGCGGTGTGTAGTACGGGATGTTTTCACATTTCATCCCCGTTGCATTACGGCCAACGAACAGCACTTACAATGAGGGGTCGCTGTTCGGCACTAGTCGAAAACACCGGTGTCAATGTCGATCCGATGATGGCAACCTTGACTTAATTCGTTAGTTCAAACAGAGCTTATGGTTTTCTGCTAAAAAAAATTACCTAAACAGAACAGGCTCGAAAAGACCAACAAAACCACGATCGTGCGAATAATTTAGACAGATGACGATACGATAAACCAATAGACCTGCATGCGAAAAATTCGCTGCGAGCCATTATCTGTTACGCTAGACACCATGCAGGAGCTTGAAACTTACTGAAGTATCGACAAGAGCACCTATCGTTTATCGGAACTGGCTGAAGTAGAAGAGTTTTTCGACCGAGGAAACTTCATACTGCCTGTAAAAAATATGATTTCTATTATCATCTCCTTATTGTATACACTCCGAATCTTTGTAGTCGAGACAATATTTCTTAAACAATGCTTTAATAGGTATGTTTCCCTATGGTCCACTAACCATAACGACTAAAATAAATCGTTTTTTTTAAAAAATAGAAAGGTTCATGTTCCAGTTCTAACAAGTGAGCACCTGCTTTACGTCGATGCGTATCGATTCAGCGTCACTAAATGGCTAGGACCTCCAACTAGTCAGTACTCTAGCAAGGCCGTCAAACATTGATTGTTTTTTTGTTTACTCGTATAATGCCGGCTCCATTTGTCGGCCGTCCGATCCTAGTTTGATTTGGTTTAGCTACTGTCTAGGCATACCCTTGTGGAATAATCGGAACGTTACATCTACCGACACATAACAGCAGGTGATACTCATAATGGTAATGATAGGTGATGATGTCGCTCTGAACTGATTTCACAAATAAGAAACAAAATCGCTATGCAAGCTCGAAACAGCAAGGCAGCTCATTTCTGCATAAATACTGTTTAAATATTTTTATATATTTTCTTATAGTATCTTATCTTATATTTGCGTCAATGCGTGCGTCATGTGGCTAGGATCTAACGAGCACTGGTCAATTTGAATGTTGAAAACTCAAGATAGTCTAGATAGCCGCAACTACATAATATTTTTTTCTCTTCAATGTGCTCGATGTTAAAGTGTTATAACGATACCGGTGTTATTTTAATGTTCTACGCATTGTCTACGTTCGTATTGTTGATACATACAGGGAGCTGTGCAGCATCACTCAATGTGCGGCTCTGGTGCGCTGCAGGAGTGCCGCGAGCGCTCGTCCCCAATCCACCAGGTTCCCCAAATTCCAGTCACAACCCAGGTAACTAGAAAAATGGTCACTTTTGTTTACTCATTGGCATTAGCGCAACAGGCACAAGCATCGATGCTGGTTTTAGTGACAACTGAATAAACGTGAACTTATTTTTAACTCCCAGATACATCCACCGTTTTCTATTCCACTATTTCTATCCAAGCTATTTTCTAGAAAAACTGCGTAGATATGTCGTATGTTGGCCGGCTTTAATACATAGACAATTGATTTATGATGACTTAACGATTTTTTACACCCTCACTTCATAACCATTTTCAGATCTCGAAAAATAAATCGGAGTAACCCATCGCTAGTTGCTGACATTCATGATCGCATCATGTAAATTTTTCGTCGCATTTCCGGCATTTCTGCAATAAAATCCTATCAAAATCCAGATCGTTTGTTTCTTGCATTGTAATTAAATACACTGTGTGTACTTCGCCAGAGGGTAACTTCACAGTCCCATGAGGCCCTGGGTAAGATAATATCATGGTTGTGCTTTAGACCTGCATTGGGTCCTCTTTGTGCCATCATCGTGTAACTCCTAGATGATCAGTTTCTGACATTTAAATATTTAATGAGGCAGGCATGTCTGAGGACACTGCTAAAGTGAGTCGATCCATGTCCTTTAGGGGATGTAAAGTAGATAGGATGGTCTGACATACATAGGCTATCGCTGGACCGCTCATTGTTTCACTTTAATGTCAAATCATAGTTAATTCTCGGACGAATACACGAAGATAACGAACGACAAAAACCAGGTATCCAAAAAAACTGGATGGGCAGCTGTTAGCTGTTTTTAACGACTCGAGACCTTCTCCGCTTAAGATTCTGGGGAGAATATTTCAAGTACCGTCTGGTAGGTAAGACGTATCCGCGTTAATGAAATAGACATACGACTTCGTTGACGAAGGAATGCGCAAGCAGGCTTTTTCAGCGAAAGAGGTACTTTAACCGTATTCTACGAGGTGAAGCTACACGCTGTGACTCCCTCTATTGAGTTTAACCTAGGTTCTAAGTTAGAAACTCTTTATTATAAAGCAGACCTGGTCTTAGTTTTACCCGTCACGTTACTTTTTATATCTCCAAAGTTATTAAGAACAAAACTCAGAGATCCAGGTATTAAGACATTTATGCACGGCGTTACAATATTTCTTAGACGCGAGACTCAGATCTGGTTCAGGTGGTTCTCGGAACTCATATACAGGCATGCTTTCAGGATGCCAGAACTCTCTGGCCTTTTGTTTTACCAAAGTTGTGAGTAGTGATTTAAAATGCCTGAATACTAATCTAGCAATTTGATTGCAGCCAGAATTAATCAACTATTTGTTGCCGAAATGTCCTTTGCATTTATTGTGAGAGTGAAGGAGTGTTAGACAAATTGGTCCTTATTTTACATCTAAGTCTTTCCACATAAGCACGGCTGGAAGTCCTACTTAAAAGTTTAGCTGTGGTAGAAAGCCTTTTTAGGATCACATAATTCCCGATTTAGTTTTCAGGCAAATCTTTACTAATAGTCGTAGTTATTCATTTCGTCAAGTGTTTTGGTCATACTGTCGCCAGATATTCTCATCAGCAGGTAGAAAAATCTCGATCAATAGTTTAGTAAGGATCGTGAACATTTACAGAGATCAGTACCAGGGGAAGTATTGCCGGACTCACGCAAAAGCAACTTTCAAAAGCCTATTTTTTTTTGCTGCCCTCTTACAATTTCAATGCCAACATGTAGACGGGCTGCCCCGCTTAAGCGTAACTAAATAAAATTGTTTGTAGTATTAATGGCCACACTCATGATAGAACAGGCTTTGCCGGTATAAAACGAACAATGTAACCTATACATTTGACGACCTTTTATTGATTGCTGTCTAGCAAGACATATACGGATAGGGCACGCAGAGCTTTAGGCGTCCTGTAAAAATTACAGCAAGGATCTACAACCTTCGACACTGAAGACTTCGGGATAACCTATCGTGAGGAACATCATTGACATCCATTACACATTTACTACAGAGACATAACATTAAAGGTGAAGTTCAGTTGTACAATGTACACAAGAATTTTTATATAAGTTTCCATCACTTTCGACATTTGATAAAAGCACGTTTATCTTAAAATTAAGAAAAAAAGCAGGACTGATGGTGGTTTATAAGCTATGTTTGTATGTACAATACAGCAACGGTGTGTTACTAAGTTCAAAATAGTTGGCCACATATTTGAGCAATATGGGGCTTTCCTAATTACCTTCTACCCGAATTTATGCTTGATTTGGGAAGATACACTGTAGCCCTTGTGTCAATTTTTCGCCGAGTCTTACTGCCATCCATGTGACAACATTTAATATACACCTCATGACCTTAATCAGGTACAGATACGACCGTATTTATATATTTTTTCCATTAATTGAAATGTTACAGTTCGTTTTGTGTATAATCTAATATTAGCACCCTGGCCATCTAATCCATCATGTTACGTAAATTGCCAACCGAGCTCAAAAAAGGCAAGTTTCCTCTCCTTCACAGGTTCCGCTCGTGATCCATGAACCAGCGATGAACAGGTAGTGTATTTACTATAATGTGTACAATGTCGATTATTTGGACATCAACATAACAAATTAAATTTAGAGAAACTATGTAAAATTGCGACTACGTTAACCGAAAAACGCTGGCCAAGTTCCAAGAGACTGCCATAACGTTTCATGACGCCTTGTGCATGACGTTCCTGGTATATCATTTCCGGACGTCTTGTGCGTGACCGTCTTACCATATCGTTTCGTAACGTTCAATGGGTAGCGAAAGTGTCGCTCTTCACAAGCGGAGTACTGCGTAGGCTTTATTGTTCACGAAGCCGCCAGCTTTTTAGGAGAGGGCCAACGTCGAGAAGCCTCATGGGGTAGCGGCGCGTGCTACTATTCCTTTCACCAGTCAGCTCGGGCGACATATTCGTCTGTGCGAGCCTTCAAACTTCCCGCCGGTCGTATACTCCCGTCTTCCTGTGTTGGCTTCTATTTCTTTTTTCATCCGCCTTCCGTCATCAAGTTTTATAGCCCATATTCGGTTCCTCACTTGCGGAGTTCGATACTGCCAACCCATTAAACCTACGAAATATCCCATTAATTTGGATTTGCTATTATTTTAATGTTTGTTCTATGATGAAACTTAGAGTTTATAATATCTTGTATCCTTAAACGTTGGATAAATATAATTTACAATATATATATATATATATATATAAAATACGTATAGATATTGGAATAGTCGAAGAGACATAGTTAACTACGAACACCGCAAATGCAGACCTCTAAACACTGTGTATGGTCATAAAGCCCCTTTACGTTTACAACGAAGATGGTGGTTACCTATAGGAAGATTAGACCTTGAATTTATTATGAGGTCTTTATGTTGTTCGGTTTTGAGGTTACCTTTTTGGGAGAAGGCTTTTGCTGCTAGCTTTATGTCTAGCTGCGTTGCCAAAGTTTGAGATGAGAAGATGAAACTGGCAAGACTCAAGCGTGCTTGTCAGATGGGCTTAATTGTCGTTACGCTATTCCTTGACCAGTTATTAATTTAACTAATTGTAACAAGATAAAAATCGATTGAGCCAGTGCCATATCAGTGGTGGGCCTTACGCATAATTCCAGATTTTCGAAAAAATGACAAATTATAGGATTTCCCTCCTCCTCCGAGTTTTACCTCGTAGTAATCCAGATTTAGTTAAGTGATGACAAATTGTAGCAGGCTTTATATAATTGGATCATGATACGATTAAATTATATGTACACTGTATTTTTCGAAATTGTGAATTATCAAAATAAATTACGCAGAAGTACGAGTTTATGGACTTGGAGCAGAAATTAGAACAAAATTTGAATGCAAATCTAGGCTGTATATTGAAGATGCAAAAGCCTTTGTCGATTTACTGATGAAAAACGCGAACAATCAACTGAATTGTTATTAAAAATTACTCGCGTAAAATATTTTCTTCGAAGAAAATATTTTACGCGAAGATAGAAAACATCGATTCGACAACAATAGTAACAATGTCGTAGAACTCTAAATCGTATTTGTCCACTATTTTTTAAAAATTAAGCTATGTTTCATGTAAACTTTCATTCAATGTATTACCGATTTTCTAGTAATACGCCTTTTCTTCGCGGTTCTATTTTTATCTTCGTACTTGGAAAGATTGAACCCAGGTTGAAGTTACTAGTTACCATTACTTTATACAGGGATGTATTTGTAATTTGTTCGCTCTGTCAACTTTCTTGTTACGACGAGTTTTTTTTGGGTAAATATGTGTGATTTCACCACTTTTCGCTTTTTGCTTAACCTTCTATTGACACTGCAGTGCAGAAGCGATATGCGCCAAGTTACATGTTTCCGAAATTACAGTTTCTATCGGTAGAATGGATATCGGCGTCTCACGCACCTATGGGCAAAGATATATTCTCTAGTGAGCTCCATATTATAAATATATATTACATAAGACTGGCCCTGATTCTTGGAATGATCGGTGTTGACTGTCATACACTTTGTTTGCCTGTCGGCTCATACGCATAAAACGGGCTGCTTTCAGAACGTCCAACGGATTAAATGGGCTAAAATGAACTGATCATTAATTTACGTGAGAACAGGTAGTTTCAGAAGTGAATGTATAGTTAAATCACCGATATGTCGAGAGATGATTGATTCAATAGCGTGTTCGCGGACAGCGTAGCTGTATAGCTCAGCTAAACAATGCCTTGGCTTACCTAAATTGAGTGCTCAAACAGTATCCGTAAAACTCGTTCCTTTTCGGCTGGTAATTTGGAGTATTTTCTTGGCTTTTGAGTTTTGTCTTTACGCCTGTTTGAACAGTTTGATAAACATCTCTTTTGTGGAGCATCCCTGAGCTTCTTGCCGAACGTCATAGTTGTGTTTTCTCCACAAGAATTAAGCCCTATGATACGGTTGTACTCAGAGATATAGAAGGCAATAGGTTGCAAAACTGAGGAGATAGGTATCTACGCGTATTCGAAATGGGTGTCTGTGGTCAACCCGTAATAATCAATCCGGTTTTTCGACACGAACGATTTTTGACCTTCCAGAAATGACGTTAGGGAATATTTTAGACCATTGAGGGGCGTGCGCCGCTAAAAGAGGGCGAGACATGCTTAATGTCCTCTTGAGTCGTAGCCATCCCATCAAAAATGTCCATTAAATCTTATTCGCATTATGCACAATGTTACATATATATTTCGCACTAAACTAATACAACTACTGTTGTACTGTTTCACGTGGTGGTACCATTAAAAAAATCCCTTAATTATTTAACATAATTCTCTTAACGAGAGGTAAGAAGAGCTGCCGCATTCTATGAGCAAGTTTCGTTGCTTACGGAGCACTGCC